GGTCTGTCTTTATAAAAGGATCTATTTATCATGCATAATTTGTTTTGGTCTCTGTTACGATTTGATAAAGGATTTTAATAAGAAAATATTATTTTGTTGGCTTTATGCAGAAGTTTGCTTTTCGTAATTGATGAGAAATTGTGATGATTTGTGAACAGAATGTGCAAGTAAGGTATGTTTATAAAATTGCAAAATGCATACTATATTTAGTTAATACGTGTGTGATTATGTGTTAAATAATATGTGCATTTTTTTTGAGTTATTTAGAAAGGAAAGTAGTAAGTATTTGTTATACTTAGTATTTGTGTGTCAAATGTTTACAAAATAAAAATGAGCACAAATAAAAATGTCCATGTGCTTGTATGGGGATGGTTGTAAAGTGGCTTAATTTTGTATTTTTAATTTTGTGTTTTATTAAAATAGATTAAATAGAATTACAATATTCACAGGAGATTTGTATAATTACGATACAATAATAACAAATTACAATATTACAATAAAGTGACAGAATTACTAGTAATAAAGTGGTATAAAGTTAGTTAATATAATATGTTATTTAATAGGTACTTGAAGTGGTATGTTTTGGTTGCATGAGAGACAAAGTAACACTCCTATCACCCTGGCTTCATCAGAGCTGCCCTAAGGTGTTGAAAGCATTAACAGAATTACCAGGTACTCATTTACTACACCTAGATTGAAGTGGCAATGTATGTTGATGTTTTGGAAACAACAGGAGTGCAACACCTAGGACTCAAACCTCGGACCATTCGATCCATAGTCCAGTGACGTAACAACTTCACCAGTTTGATTGCAAAGCTAAGGAGAGTGAGGCGTTGAATCAAGTTCAAATGACTTGGACGTGTTGCCAATGCAACAATTCTGAAATCTCATAAAATTTTCAGCGTCTTCAAAGTGCACTCCATATCTCAGTCTTGCACTTGGTGTATTAATATGGAGTGAATGTCAGCACTTTATCACTCTTTGCCTCCCTAGTCCTTTGATAGTTCTCCGACATGTAGCATGTGTAATGATCAGAGACCTCACTTCCTCCTTCTCCTAACAGAGCTAGATGAGCAGCATCGTCGGACATGCACACACATAGTTCACACATCATTTTGTTCTTTTACACTCAGCTCTCATCATGAACAAGGGATGGCATCTTCTTCCGGTCCTTCTGGGCGTTTTTCTTCCGCCGTTTTGCGAGGTAGTTATCCACCTTCCCACTGCTCTTCAATGCTTTAAACTTCTCTGCTAGCTCCAACTTCTTCTTGTCAGCTGCATTCAAAGAGACAAACCAATATAAATTGAACATCATATGCTACCCAACATCACTCTCAATTTTGTTTCTTATCATTTTCACGGTCATCTTTTTCAGGCATCAAGTTACGTTTGATTGGTAGCTATACACTCTTGCACTGTATAATGTTTCATCAAGGTAGAACAATAATAATAATATCTGCATGTGAGATTACATTTTTGATAAACTTGCTTAACTAAACATTCATCTTTAATATCAATGAAATCAGCATCATAAAGAGCAATCAACTGGGATATCAAGAGCATAAAACCATTTTTTCGGGGCAGTCGAGTAGAATGTCATTATAGACTCCATCAACGGACAACTTACATTTCTTGAGGAAGAAAGGTTTCTTCCCTTGTTTCACAAGATCCTTCTCTTTTTTCATGTACTTCTTTTCCAACTCCTTGGCAGTATCCTTCTTGTTCTTTGCCCTTTCTTGTTGTTCCTACAAACGGAGGAATATCATTTCAAAAGAATTTAAAGAAGGCCATGCGGAGGTGGACCAGAACAAAAATGTTTAATTCAATGTTGGATAATGGGTTGACTGTGGGCTGAATGACCCGCAATTAAACAATTATATGAGAATAAAACATCTTTTAAACTTCTTGCTCATATGCACAAATTCAAACAAGTGGATTCCTATCTTCATGTGACACAAAATTCCTTACAGTCTCAATGTATAAATAAACTGCATAATGGCAAAATTCAATTGGGCCAATATGTCATACACACTGCCAATCCAACTCCCCAACAACTCAAAAATCAATCAATTTTTTGCCAAACCAGATAATGTAATTGTTTGTTGAGTAATTTTCAAGTTTTGGGTTGGTCTCACTGACTTGACCGAAGCGTAACTATTAGGTGAAAATCCATCTGGGCACATGTCTCCTTTGAAAAGAAGCATTCTCACACAATACAAACTAAAGGCATTTCAAGACATGACAGTGGTAAAAACTATTTTACAAAAACTGGCATGGAAAAATTAAACGAGACTAGTTATTACCAATTGATATTTCTATATTTTTAGAACACTCGGATCAGTATACAGGCCTTTTTTGTATGCGTCTTCATTTCTGATACTCCCAAAATATTGTCTCCTGTAATTCACTTACACGATATGTTTTGCCACATCTGTCTGATAAGGCACTAACAGCGTAATGTCCGAATGAGCTCAAGATTATATTTCAACTGGCCAAAATTTATTTTTAGATTTTTAAAGACACCATAGATTTTCACAGAGAGAAGGATACAATCTGCTGGCCAGGGTGACAAAAGCAATTAAAACTTGCTATTACTCGAAAGCATGTCACCCCCCAATGATTATAGTAGTTAAAAGTCATGCACTATATAAATAATCTCATGAACTAACTCATATAAACTAATAAAGCCCACAAGTGTTTTGCTTATGCAGTTGTTTTTCTCCTAATAAATAAATAAACCCTCTAAACATACAGGTACACGACGCCCCCTTGTCTATGCCAGAGTGACCTAGGTTGAGTTTATCAACCGAGAAGCGTACGGCGTAACGTAACTCGCTGGGCTGGTAAGAAGGCATCATAGAAAGGACAGGGCCAGCGTGAGTTGGAACTGTGTGCGGATCGTGGTTTAATTTGAAATAATTGTTTTTTTTTTTTTTTTTTTTTTTTTTTGTAGACTATGACTAATATTATATTAAAATGAGGTTGGAAAAAGAAAGAAAAATAATAATTTTACCAAGACATTAAAAGAAAGAGATGCGATGAAATTGGCAACAATAGTCAAATTTGACTAATAGCATTATAATACCAAAAGAACAACAACAACATGCTCATTACAGGAGATACTGATTTATTTTACAAATTCAATATATCATGTTATGGTATCTTATATATTACATTATGTGTTATTAGTTTTGTTTGTAAACTTTTGTAATTCGGCTAAATGCCGCGATGAAAGTTTTATTTGAAATAAACCAATTTGAATTGAAATGAAAAATATCAGGTCGGAATTTGGTGGGTTTTTTGTTGTTGGTTGGTTGGTAATAACAATCAATCTCAACTCCTAGACGAAACAAGAGGAAGGGGGAGGGGGTGCGTGAAGGGGTAGACCATATCACAAAGTGACAGAGAACATGACTCACCATTTTATAGAGGTATCTTTGAATCTTGAGTTGTTTCTGCGGATCCTTTGTTTGTTTCATGGACTTCTCCAATTCCTGTACAAACACCAGATTAAAAAACAGACAGAAAAATGAAAATGTTGTTAGTACTGAGACCAATTTTTTTTTTACATGTTCATATATTACATTCAATTAATAACTAGATCTATATCCATCATTTTTCAAAAATAAATATCAGTACAATCCCTTCAGCTATTTGCGTATGTAGCTTTATTTTCTGAAGACTCAAATTATTTCAATATTTATTGTTATGAAAGGAGACCAAAACAATTTCAGCTACTGATATGGCAATTCTAGATTAATTAGGTTCATCTAGTTATATTTATTTCCTGCTGGGTGACGATTTGCCAAAGATCAGGAACAGGACAGGTCGATTCCAACTTGTTTTCTGATAACTTCAAGTTTGAAAATAGCATATTATAGACATTTTAATAAAAATCTACAAATTAATGATATAACATATAAACTAGTATTAGGAGGTACTTTCAAAACAGCTCAGTTTTCTATCAACTATTCATCTAATTTGTAAAATATTGAAATTCAAATAGCTTTGTTAAAGAATGACGAAAAAAAACATCCTTCTGTGTAATTCTGTAACAAAGTATATAAAATTCAACATTTCAAAGGTTTGATGAATGGTTGATGGAAAATGCAAATATTATTAGAGTACCTCATATTATACAAATAACGCACGTCCCAGAGTGCAATAGCGGTGAATGCAGTACGCGCGAGGTTTCTTTAGATTGGTGCCGCTCTGTGCAACGAGCCGCTTGCGGCGAGTTGACAGTGCGAACCATCTGAAGAAACCGAGCGTTTACTGCATTTACGTTTTGCACAACAGGGTCAAGTGCGTTATTTGTTTTATAAAATAGCGACACAAATAGCAAAAACGAAACTTTAGATCTAATAAGTTAGAGTCTACGAGAGTTCGATCTAGATCTAGATCTAGAGTTATGTTGGTTCTACTTCTAATTAGACTAAGACCTTGCAGGCTTACCAAAAAGTCAATGGGATTCATTGCCTTGATTAAAAATAAAATCCATACAGTGGGTCTAGAGACGAGTCTACATCAGACAGCTGAAATTCCTGGCTTCATTATAAAATCCAAAAGTCAAAACAGGCCTAAATCCAAGGCAAAAGTAAAATAAAAAATTGCTTTTTAATAATACCCCGCTGGCGCTGGCCGCTCTAGCTAGCTAGCTAGCTAGAGCTAGCTACGCGCGCGTACGTTGCGCTGGGGATCATGGTGGAGCGTACAATATTAGCTACGCTTAGCCTACAATAATTGCAATGCAACTCGAGGGAGCGCGTACTACACGTACGCGCGCGCACTGGATCTCCATGGTCACGCGTACGCACCGTGCAATATAACTTTTTACTGCGCTTTTTCTGCACTCATTTCTGCAAAATCGTGCTTCCATCAAAATTTTTTCAATGTCATTTGACGCGTATTGACCAATCACGATGCTTAAAATACTAGAGCCATTTTATAATCATTAATATAAGATATTTCATTAATGTGTAGCCTTCTTATTGAAATATCTAGAATATTCTTTATTCAAATTACAAAATTGGCTGCTCACCTGTTTTTCTCTTTCCTTGATATCAGAGAGAAACTCATAATTCTTGTCAAATGTTTCTTCCCTGAAATCTCCTGATAAGTCATCGAACCGAGGATCTCTGGCCATCTGCAAACAGGAAGAGAAAAACAGAGACAGAGTCAAATAAATATTTGAAAAATAGTGGGATAAACTGAATGAAAGAAGGAGAGAAGGAGAAATATAGATAAATAGAGAGAAGAAGAAGAGAGATAGAGAGATAGAAAGAGAGAGAGATAGAGAGAGAGAGGGGGGGGGGGGGATTAATGAGAGATGGATGGAAAAGAGCTCATCTCATATTTGCTTATGTGCCATTTCCATCAAGGGGCAGTAAAACTGTTATAACAAAAAATGTGTGTTCTCTTATTTAGGTCTTACACATGGAAAACAGGACACCGCAATTCATTTCATTTTATTTCGATACAGCATTTTTATATGGGGGTGGGGGGTAGGGGGGGGGGTGTCATTACATTCCAGGAAGAGGCTCAAATAAAAACTGACCTGTTTCTTGACTTCTACCACATTCCTGTATCTTGTCACTTGCTTCTTAGAGGACTGTTCACGTGGTCTAGACAAAAATATCAAGGAAAACAAATGAAATGGCTATACAAAGAAAAAATATAAAATGACAATGCAAAAACAGAATTAACTCAAACATCTATGAAATACCAGAAACGATCCTATGGATGTCATAAGATCATTTAAACTAAAAATATCACTGGTCTGGTAAATGATAAAAATGAAATTGTGCGTCCCAATACATCAATTGTACTTACAAGTGGATATGATATGAAAGCCTTTCGGCACTAGTTTGGCCAGGAGGAATTAGACCTTCCTGCATGGTCACTGACAGGTGGTTATCTCATCAAATCAGCTCTCAATTAACATAAGACTACTGCCTGCATGGAACCAAAGTCTGACTTTCTTCATATTTGTTATCAGTTAGCCCATTGAATGCAAAGTAAAGTGTTTTTAGGTTGATTTTTATACATTCTAGCTGACTTAAACTGTATGCTCATCATTATATTTAACTTTGAGTGTGCATAAAGGAAATAAAAAACAACAAAATGGAGTAGCCCTGCACATATGATGTAGCCCACGCCTGTTCTGACTGAAATGCAAACAGAATGATGTCTAGGTCTAGGCTTACCTGTTCTTATTTGCTCGTTTAAATGGTTTAGATGCTTCCTGGGATTTCTCCTTTTGTTTGCCAAATAGAGCTTCATGATACCTGAAGAAATTGATTTAAAAAAAAAAAAAGTATTTAAAGATAAGCTTGAGTTCTGGTAATGATTGATAGGAAATATATTCTCACAGAATCCAACAAATCTTACACTGAATGTTCAAGATTACAAATAAATGACATGTGTCGAACGATTTTGGTAGAAAATATATCGGGGCTAAGTAATGAGCATAGAAAGATAAGGAAATCAAGGTAAGTAGGCCCGACACCATGTGCTTTAACACACAGTTCACTATGAGCAAAATGAGAGTTGTGGTTTTTATTGAAGATGATTTCCAGCAAGTTTTTGTGAGTTTGTTTTTATTTTTCTGGTCAAACAATCAATCTACTGCAGGATAGACAATCCAGAATGAATTATGGCCATGTTCTCTCGACACACCATTCCCATACAAGAGCTCAAGATTAGCTTTAACCTGAAAGTGGACATCTAACAATTTTTGTGAAATCTTTAATTTGTCTCGGTGTACTCAAACAGTCATGATTACCCTATACTAATTCGGATTAAAGCCAAATGAAGAGAAAGTATTCTTCTTCTGTGTTTAATATATCTGTATCAAGGTATGATGATGATGATGATTCACAGCATTTGTACGGCGCCATATATCTGTTTAAAAAACATTCAAAGGCGCCGCGAAGGGATGATAAAGGTTACTTGAAAATGGGCTACAAATGAACCTGAAATACAAATTTTACTCACTTTTTGGATCCAATTTTCTCTTGCAATTTCTGTAGCTCGCCAAATGAGACTTCTGACAGTTCTGCTCATGACAAAAAAAAAGAAGAGGAAAGATGTTTCACATAAATCATTTCTGACTTGATATTACAGGAAAAAGAAATCTGTGATTGTAAACACTGGGTACATGTATTTCAAAATAGTGACAAGCTCTACTGATTGTAACACGCAAATAAGTGTAATATGATAATAATAATCTACACCAAATAAGCAATTCATTGTAATCACCCTTAAACTGCTACCCAATAACTTCATATACTATAAGTTTACAAACATAGACTATATCTAAAATGAATTTATCAATAAATTTATCATCCTGTTTTAAATTTTAAGAAAGGAAAAGAAGTTGAAAAAAAATTTAGTGGATACAATCTGAAAATTAAGCTGGTTAAATATAGCCTATGGTACTAAAATGGCAGGTGGTTTGGAGGTCTTAATTGAAAAAACAAAAACAATTATACACTATTACACTAATTTATCGTGAAATTTAAACTCCACAGCACCCACCTTGTCTGATAGCTTTCTGTGAAGAGAAAGAGAGAAAGAGGGAGAGAAAAAAAAAGAAGGGTTAAAACTTCTTGGAAATAAAAAAATCCATTACTCTGATCACTTTATAGCAGATGTCTGTGTCAATTTCTTGAAAAAGCTTACAGAAACAATCAAACAATCACAAAACAAACAAAGAAAATTATCATGTGTACATGAATGACAAATCAAAAATCCTACCCCAATGTCTAAGTGACAAATTACCACTTTCCATCATCACCATTCACCAACAACAAAAATAATACAGAAATAATAATACAAATATTTACAAATTTTTTTTTAAAAATAGTAATAGAAGGAGTACAAACATTTACATTTTTATTTACATTTACATGATGCGAAATATAGAGACAATCTACTCCTACAACTTAAAGTAATGGAACTTGTATACTGGAAAATATGAGGCTTGTTTTAAAGTTGCTCAAGCTTGGGTATACAGAGCGCAGGTGCTATCTTGGCCATGAACTTTAAACTCTTTTGACAGAGTATCCCATGAACTGGAATAAGTCCATGAAATTTCATATCTATGTCTCAAATGGTTTTTGAATGATTACAGGTAGTAATCAACTACATATGTGCGTAGTGACAATTATGCATCATGTACTGTACATAATTTATGGGGAAAAATTTATTTTAGCAATTGTTGTGCTACGCAGTACCCATGGTACCCATTGGTCAAAATTTGGTATCAAAATATAGGGGGGGGGGGGAGCGGGGTCTATTCTGCCCGCGGCTCTTTAAGGATTTTTAAAAAAAAAGCCCCCCCCCCCCCCCGAGCTGACCAGATAAGACAAGCCCTGTTCCAGACTTTGAGAAACACTGTGCTAGAGCAGGCATCTCTACACCCTATACCCAATACCCTAAAAACAATACCCGTATTGTTGTTTGATTGATATTTAAACACTTACCAGTTTACCAACATCAGATTGTCTCTTAACTCTCTTTCCAGGTCCATGATGGCCTTTCAGGGGGCTTTGGGAATTCTAAGGTATAAATTGACACAAAAGAGTATAAGAGTTGGGCAATTGGCAGTGTATTCAATTCATTATTTTACTGGTAATGCAACAAATAAACAAATGATATTAAAAAAAAAATATAATAGGCCATAAAAGGCATTAGCCACTGTTTACAAATCTCAAAATTGGTGTGCTGGAAGAAAGGTCAGATTCAGGACGCGAATTTTGTCATGATTATCATACTAATTAGTAATGAGGATCTGAGACATTACGGTAGATAACTTCACACAGGCGCCAGCCCGCAACCCACCATCAGTATGCACTTGTATTGTGCAGTGGTGAAAAAGGGTATAGGGGCCTACTAGATCTAGACTAATATACAACGTTCATCCGAAAAATACTCCTAAAATAACAAGAAAATTGACACGAAACAGGTAATAAACATAACAACTTTTAACTCATGATCTTTATTTGGACATTCAATGAATTTTTACTTCATTTTGGGTATGTTTTAGTAGGGTATCTCCACGCCGGAGTTACAGGTCAAATTTGGGTTACGTTTCTGAACAAGCGCTGGAAAAACAAGCACTTCCCCGGGCTGGCTGGCCGCTGGGGAAGTACTTGGTTTGAAATGGGGATAAGACTGGTTCGACTTTACGCAACTGGTAGCATGAGCAGTAATCCGAGGAGAATGTAAACCCATGGACTTCAGCGCAGGAACTGACGCCTATTAAATCCTACTCCTTAGGGCTCGACCTGACGCGGCCCGCTACCGTGGTCCGCTTCGTGCATGCCGTGCTCGACTGCTCGTGCCTCTCGCTCGCCGCGCTGCCAGTGTGGCAGTAGAGTTACGCACGCTGAGCTGAGCCTTGTGTTTATTGAAATTTGTCTGACACATAGTTTTGTCTCATTTTATTTTCACACGGCATACATTAGCATACATCATGTACATACCTTTCTTGACATTCTTGTTTAAGTACAGAACTTTGCTTTGACGGAGGGACTGAGCTTGGACAAATGTGGAGAAAAAGAGATTTTCTGATCTTCGAAGCTATTCGCCGCGTCTCAGAGAAGGCAAAGGAAAAATGAAAAAACACACTGTGAAAGGGGAGGAGGGGGGGGGGGGGGGGGGGGAGCTCTTTTTGTTGTGGGGGGGGGGGAGGGGGTCACCTTTAACATGTGACCCTAGACCACACATAGCTGCATTAAACTGTTTAGACCACATCTATTGATTCTCAACGTGCCAAACACCACTGTACAAAACTCAACTGAGTTCCCTAAAAATCGGTACTTTATAGTTACAATTGATGACACCTAAGTAGCAGTAAAATACGATCTTTTCAATTTACCGATGTTAGAAAGAATTATTTGGAAATTCAAACCGTTAGTCTACTGTCAAACTTGCCGAACAGCCACTGCATTGTGTGCATTAGTGTGCAATAATGTGCAATGATGTGTAATGTGTGAATTGTGTGCAATTGCTGCATCTCAGCACGTAGTATGGCGCGCTACAGGTCAATACGCATTAGCATTAACTGGAGTGACCCTAGACCACTGACAAACATCGATTTGCTTTGTAGATTTGGGTTTTGATTCGAGAAATGTATTCATATTCATACATCGGCTCATTAACGTAACTCTACACATATCTTGTATCATTTTAAGAACTTTGTCACGTACGTGAGTGACTTTCTTTTTCTTTAAACTGCTACTAGGACAAAAAGACACAATCATTTAGAGGTATATAATCATTTTTCAAATTATGAAGTCCAAGATGAATAGAACATAATTTATAAATACATAATATAATTGACAAATACATACACGGGTAGCTTCCATCTGGTGAGTCCCTTCGTGTCGCTTGGCCAGTCTCTTAAGAAGCCAACGCCGCAGACTTGGCAGCTCAGCTCTGTAGTATCTCTCTACCAGACTCACTTCAAGACCATGGATGACGTGCAGGCAGGCCGAGATCGAGCTCCTTATCGACGACGATCCAATACTTTTATAACGAAATCCCCCAGAACAAACGTTTCTGCTGCCTTACCATGCTATCTAAAATGTAGTTTGTACATAACTTCTGCACCCTATCACTTACTTGAAAGGTTCTCCTAATTTCCCCCTTAGCAACCTTTATTTATCCCCTTTCCTTGCCTGGGTAATTAATATAAAAACTAAGAAAAATATGTAAGACAAATTCACTTTTAATTGGTAGATATTTCTATTTCTATACCAACAGGTTGCCAGATCCGGATAACGATTAACAAAAGGAGACATTCACTAAGGAACAAGAAGCATGTATTTACATAACATTTCTTTTGGTTTGATTTCTATTTCCTGAGCTTAACAAAAACTTAATTGACTCTGTGTCATAAATGCAAATGGATGCACTACCGCATAATATGCTAGACTACTCTAAATAACTTTTGAGCAGTACATTTTCTGTCAGTCCTTAACTAATAGATTCCTTTCTAGTCTGGAAATAATTCCTTTTTATGAAAAACGTACAATGCAATGTCGCTATCATACGATAATCAGCTTTTTGATAGTTTGATTTTGAAGATAATAGGCCTAAAATTAATTCTACTTCTGCACGGTATTTATTTTTCTAAATTATGAACGCTGTGAGGAATATCACATTTTCATCTTTTGTTCAAAATCTCGAAATAGAATTTGACCGTTAAAATGTGTTTGTCTCAGCAAAACTACTCATGCTCACGAGTTATATAGTTCAAAAGAAAGTTGTCAAGTGAATTATAATTGGCAAACGATCAGTTTAATGCATAGAAATCAGTTAATATACAATCGGATATACAATCCTTAAGAGTATGTCTGAGTAATTGAAAGGCGGCTGAATGTGAAAGGTAGCCTTACTACAAGTTCCACTCAGGAAAATCGCAATTATAGATCATAATCAGGATGATAATAAAGCTTGTTCAAGGTGGATTGAAAGGTGTGGTATTTTGGGATTGGGTTTGGGACGTTAAGGCATCTGGAGGGATCGGAAAGTCTGTAGTAAAATGAATGGGAGGCTGATTCAACCACTGATAGTGTTTGAGTGGCCTTGCGTGTTGGTCCCTGTTCTGAAGGGTTGTAGGCCAAGGGACTTCTGTGGATTCTTTGCGAACACTCCGTAGTCGCAGACGAATCGTTATGACATCAATGATTACAGAGACGCAGGTGCAGACTACAGGAATGGATATCGGAATGGCAATATTCACACAACTTCTAGTTCCCTCAGAAGATATTGCTGAAATAATATCAGTTCACTCGATAATTAGGTAGACATGGAGGTACACATACAGCTGGACAGTTCATGTATTTCGTAGTTGTACTAGACCTTTGTTCAGCGCATGAAACATTTGAAAGAAATTCCAATCAATTGATGGGAGTAACTCTATTTCTATTGAGGTATACCTTTTAATATTCATTTCTGTATTTAAGTCATTGACTATAATGCGTCATGATGCAATTATAAAGAGATGTAAATAGAAGGTGACAAAATAAAAATAATGACTAACTAAATGTAAAAAAATCCAAACAAAATACGGGACTGAAAGTCTTTCAGATTGATCAAAGCTTAATCTTAACAGGCACACCACCCCTCCACCTCCCTACCATTAAATAATTGTAACGCTTACTGTCCATGCCAGTCGTATGTAATAGAATGTTTTAGAATGCTGCCTACTTTATTTGAAGAAGTAATATGAACTGTAGAAAATAGAACATTTCAAAAGGTCCAGTACAATCTAGGCAACAATGACACCGGTATAACTTTGTCGTCTTCTCCAAAAACACGAATCCTTATTAGTTCATTTACCGATGCTACGAGGAAGAAATGTCAAAACATGGTCAATAAAAATGTAAGAATTCAAGAACAACAGTCAGGGGCGGATCTAGGGGGGGGGGGTGTTAAGGCGGTTTAAACCCCCTTGGGCGGCCAAGTGAAAATAAAAAGAGTAAAACAGTAAAACGGCGCGATTTTTTGAAGGAAAAAAATCGTCAACCCATATCGTATGACCAGACATTAGTCCTGAATTGTTCGTGGCCTTGCAGCCATTGGCATTAAAAGACTTAATAAACTGAGGGTTTCTGTGGTAATGTGAGTGAAATTAAAATTAATTAAATAGCGAAGTGGACTTCGTCTATAATGAGGTTTCGATTAGCAATAATTAATTGCATGGATATCACATAATTAAGGCGGTTTAAACCCCCTTGGGCGGCCAAGTGAAAATAAAAAGAGTAAAACAGTAAAACGACGCGATTTTTTGAAGAAAAAAAAATCGTCAACTCATATCGTATGACCAGACATTAGTCCTGAATTGTTCGTGGCCTTGCAGCCATTGGCATTAAAAGACTTAATAAACTGAGGGTTTCTGTGGTAATGTGATTAAAATTAAAATTAATTAAATAGCGAAGTGGACTTCGTCTATAATGAGGTTTCGATTAGGAATAATTAATTGCATGGATATCACGTAATCCAAACACAATAATTAATTGCATGGATATCACGTAAACCAAACAATGGCAGAAAACGTTCAGCCTGATTATTGTGTGTGATTCACATCACGAATACGACACGGGCTTTTCTTTTTCTTTTTAACCGAGCAACATCTTTCGTTATACATTCGTCTAATTGCATGGGGATATGACATCTTTAATTTTTATTTGTTACAACCTGAACTTCCTTTCGCAATATTTGCTTTTGTTAACGAATATTCATTATTCATATTTTTATCGTTTAGTATACAAAATTACTATTATTACATCGCTTGTGAGAATCCAATATTAAAATCCAGGCTTTATTCCATGTGAATTCAATGTGAGTTGAATTCAAATAAATTGAGTCTATTCTGATGATACGGGTTATGTTGGAAAATAGAATAAAACTAAATGACACAAAACAAAACCCCAAAAGCCAAAATATGTTGTTATATCTGTTTAACGGTTTTTTCCTTCTCGAATAGGGTTAGATACAACAATAAATAGTGGTTGGCCAATCATGTATCTTTCTTGGCAAACAGTTATGTATGCATACAACATGCATGAAAGTAACTGGCATACAAAGATAAATGGGCAGTGAAAACGATACATAATTTGTTTCATTTAGTGAGCTTATGTACACTGGTTATTGACAAGAGGGCCCTCACAAGGAAGATATACATGTTTAATTAGTAACAGAAACTCGAGGTCCACAACTAAGTTAAATGATATTCAATTAACATATTAATTGACAAGCTGAACTGTGTCTTTTCGTTTTTAAATTTCAGAACTGTCATTTTGCATCGAAGATCGTGATGGCAATAAAAAAGACATTTTAAATTAATATGTCATTACTTCGCGGTAGATCTCGTGTTCACATTTTCACACTTCGGACTTTTTTTTTCTTAATAGACGTGATGTTTTCATCAAGTTATAATTCCAGACATTTTCCCCATTTCCCCATCTCTCGTTCAAAAAGAAATATAACTTGTCACTCGACTTGTAGTAAAATTAATTTTAGTACATTGATCTATTTTGTACATGATAAACGATAACATAAATGAACAATAAGGCCACTATGAGATCATATGATTTAAATATAGATTTATTAATCCGTCAATATGCCAAAATATCACATAAGGAACCAAAAACATATTGACAAAGCAAGAAAAGCTACAACACCGGGGTTCCCCCTACTCTTATACGAATAGTGCAGTAGGTTCTTAACGTGCAAAGGTTGTGACTGTTCTCTACACGCCGCCTCCATTTAACGTATTATCTGAGGGGTGGTAATTATCAAAAGAGGCAAAAAATGTGAGTGAATTTAAGCTTTTACATATTTCTAATTGGTAATGGACCAATATACTCACTTATATATATATATATATATATATATATATATATATATATATATACATATATATATATAATTATATATATATATATATTTTTTTTTTTTTTTTTTTTTTTGGGGGGGGGGGGATACTATTTTGTTTTATTGATACTTTGCAGACATTACAAGGCTAATAATAACATTGATCATGTTTGAGTGTATCATCCTTTGGGGAAAAAGTTCATAAAGCTATGTGTGATATTGAATCTATCAATTCTCCACCTTAATTTTATCCTTATCCTCCCATTCCTTTGCTGAGGATAGTTCTGAACTTTGATTTCCCGAACGGCGTAAACGCGTTGAATAGTACACTTTAGGGGCATCATGGTCAGTTGAAAGCCGAAACAGCTTTGTTGCCAGTTGGACTCTGGTGGACTGGGCTAGGTATGAATGTTACTCTTAGGGGTTGGTGAAATCTCAATCTCCCCCTTGACTTGCGACTCTGGTAAACGCGAAGAGTAATAAACCTTTGATCCAGGATTTGGCAAGCCTTGTATATCAGATTGTGCAAGCAGGTAACCATCGTTATCTACCCGGCACGCCCTAACTGGAACCTTTGGTTTACTTCGGATCATCTCAGGGTAGTTGTACTTGTGGTACTCGTCAAATGATCTGCTCATTGAAGGGACATCCTGGTCCAAGGCCAGGTACTCGTGGGCATGTACGATACCTGCTGTGGGTACAGAGCTTTCGCCGAGGTCAGGCTCTTCGTAGATGCCATCATTCAATCCTGTACATGATGACGCCGTTGCTTTTGCAGCTGCTTGAGGAATGTCTGGAAGCTTTGGCACTGCCATCAGTGGCTGGTAATGCGTTACTGTTGCCGCTCCAACATTTCTGTCTTGAACACGGTTATCCTGAACGCTCACCAGGTGAATCTCATTGTCAATTGTTTCTCTATTCTTTTTAGTTATAACTGTTACCAATAAGCCTGCAATAGCTGCTATTATGACAATAGCTACTACAATAGAGATTGGGCTGACAAAACGAACCCATGTTTTTGGTGGAGTCTCTGTAGAGAGAAGAGATGCTGAGGAAGAAGAGATGATAATTATTCAATACATACAGTTTACACTTTTGAAGACCGCACCAAGGTAAATAAAGGATGTGTTACTATAAACTTTAGTTATTTTAAATATATCATAAGAGTAACAGTACTACACTAGAAGTGAATTAATCATAATTCCTTTAAAAACAAATTGAAATGTGGTTCTCTTGTCAATGTTTTTCTTCTTGTGGACTTTCTGTGCACTTTCTGACATGGCGTACATGTATAACCTGAAAACCAAACGAAATCACACAATGCAAACTTTGATAGATTTGTAATTTGATATCCTTTTATTTATGAATTGAATTACATCAGTCTCCAAATTGTCAAAAGTCAGATAATAGTGAAATATAATCAAACGAATCAAATTATGAATGCTGGCGTGGAAATGAATAGTTATCACTTAATATCACTTACCATGGGACGTTGTAGTATCCGTATCTTTTCTTATGTCACAGTATTTGATGTTTGGTGTTACAGAAGGGTGGACTAGAGTGCAAAAGGAAAACGTATTTTTTAACGGTTATCACAAGTTCTTGTTTGAATATAATAACTACTAAACTGAAAATGAATACATTCAGAAAGATTACGTGACTGACATCGTGAAATAACAATTTCGCAATGGTATCTTGATAGTGTCATCAACACACCTTTAACGCGGTAATGAAGTTTTAAGTATTAATATGGCTGTAGTCATATTGATATTTGTTGTGAGATCAATTGTCTTTAAAAATCCCTAAATTAAATTCTTTTAAATTGGGAAATATAATAAGCCAAGGAGATCGACATTCATAACCAAATCGTATTACTATTATGACGAACATCATTTCATATTTTATCGGATATTGTAGACGTTACTGAAATGGAACGAGAACTTGTAATCTTTTATCAAGTATATGAAATGATAAATCTGTTTACATGATGGAATACTATAAATTGAAATACAGTAACAGAATGAAGTTATGATATACATCACTGATAAGTTATGTATCTTCTCTTATAAGTTGTATACAACCATGTACTTTGTATTGCCTTATATATTATGTACTAAATGGATTGTATTGTTTTCTTCGTTCTGTAGATCAAAACATTTTTTAAAACATTTTTTGTACTACTGGAAGTGGCCAATAGAGGGGGAAATCAATAATTGAACAACATAGAATAAACTTGATAAAAGCTCTGCTAATCGCCTATGTAAATTGATTTGACTTTAAGTTAGATTGCGTTAATAAACATAAAATTAGATTAATAAGGGGAAGCTGTGGATTGAACAGTAGGGTAATTATATCAACATTTGTTGGTAAATTAAACATAGATGATGTTCGTTTGTTGAAATCAATCATTCTTCTATCTGCCTATTGACTTAACTTCAAAACTTTACATTCAATTAGCATATTCTTGAAGACTTACAGGTATACATAGCCACCGCAGTATAACCACCGCAGTACCTTTCATGCATTACTCTGCATGGTAAGCCGCAGTAGTGGTCGTCCAGCGGCTTAGCAATACATGTCTGCTCACAGGAGCAAGCACATTTTGTTCTGTTGTACAATGCTGCAATATTGAATCCATTTTCTTTACATGTTGCTGTGTAAGTCTGGTGTTGTCGATTCTGAGAGTACTACATGATAGTCGACATCCAAGCAACTAAGAGGATAGCAACCGATGTATTCAGCATCTGAAAAAGGTACAACACGTACATGAAATAACATGAAATAGTAGAAATAAATGTATACGATGGTGATGATGATGATGATGATGACAACGGTGGTGGTGGTGGTGATGCTGCTGCTGATAATGATGTGCAGTTTACTATGCTCTGTTGAATAAGTCACTGGACTGTTTATCACAAGGTTCCAGGTGCTATTCCCTGCCAGGGCACTCACCTCCTTTGACATTAAGTCTACATTTGCTCCACTCAACCCAGGTGTTGTAAGTGCGGATTGGTAGAATGTATTCCTTGTATGCACTGAGCATAGTCATTGCAGGGGCTAAAGCACATAATGTGATGTGCACTATATGATGGTAATGATGATGATGATAATGACGAGCTTTTGACAACATATCAAATACAAACAAATGTGATAAAATTATGATAATTTGCATTTCCAAGCATTGCATTAGAAAAAAAGGGACTTTACCCCCCTTGCATTTCTCTCATTACAGTATAGAAGGCTGATAATTCGTAGTTGTATTATGAATACTGAAAGTCGTTGATCTTAGAAGAAAGTAGAATAAAAGTATTCCATACATTCCTAAAAAACATATCGAACTTCATACTGCCGACTGTTCTCCGTGTAGAAAACAATTTTTTTATTGGTTTGACGTATGTGTCCAAAACATTGTATCGTTCTTTCTCAAAGGACTTTGTTACTCAGCTGTACCAGAGCTAATCCATAGTTAAAACTCTATAAAGATGGCGATACAAAGAGATACGACAATTGTTTTCAAAAACTGTGAAAACACCACGTGATGCATTCAAATAACACTTTAAAAACCGCCATTATTTTGTTTTACTAATGTGCGAAACCACGATTGATCTTCGCAGCAGCTCACTTTTGACAAGGGTGTAGTGATTAAGTGTGCTAATTGATACTAATAGCTCTGAATACATCTATTCTACAGTCACATACTCTAATATGCCTCTTTTACCGAACATTCATGAGCCTAGCACAATTTTAATTACAATGTGCACAATAATCATTAAGTAACTGTTCATCAATAAAATAAAGGATATCGAGAATATGAAAGGAACTGCCAGTCGTAAGTTGTATTTTCCCTTTATTACTTAAAGTAAATAAAGTGTTTGATCAATATTATATTATATTATATTATAATTTAACACATTGTATATACTCCTATTAAGAAACAATGATATATTATGTTATATTTTGATTTATCATAGTTCTCCGCCACCTGTGATTTTTGTTCATTTATTTTTACATTTGTTTTCTTTTATTCTGTTGAAAAAGGAAACAAAGTCATGAACTAATATATGAATAAGTCTTGCGGGGTGCATGTTTGTGTGGGTGTGTTTGTGTATCTGTTTTTAAAGAATTTTTGTTTTCTTCAAGCAGACAAATTAGAGCTGCCGTCATGAAAGATATCATTAAAACTGATTACATTGCAATAAATGTTTAAATGTCAGCCTAATGACCCTCATATATTGAATGAAGAAACTGGGTGGCAATTAAAAAAAAAAAAACCCACATCTAAAACGCGTAAAAACAAACATTGTGCCCTCCATAACAGAAATGAATGTGTTGTATCAAGCCTACGATCACGAGATAGAAATTGCTGCAATATAGCGTTTGACACGTGTGTTCTAACCAAATATTCAGAAAGTTTGCCAAACACTTCAAACTAAAATGATGGTTGAAAAACAAATCTATGGATGTGTTAGCGAATTATCTTTTATTCGTCACTCTTGAGGTGTGTTTGTTCTAGTTTTCCCTTGCAAAGCGAAAAATATATTTGCTGAGAACACCTCGATCTTAATGAATGTTTGATGTCAAGATTTAATGTTACTTACTCTTTCCAGCATTATGGATTTACCTGTGTGATAAGCAAGTACATTAAGAGCAGAGATGTCACTCAGATTAGTTTCCTTTGTCCAGTTATATCGAGACATAGGTATAAGTAGAATTTATAATTTGCCTGAATAGAAGGAGAGGGAGAGAGAGAGAGGGGGGGGGAAAGAGAGAATAAGAGAGAAGGAGAGAGTGAGGGAGGGGAGGGTGACAGACGAGAGAGTGTATAAAGCCAGTAGATGCCTCAGGGGTAGTCATTTGAAGTGCTCCGGACAGTCAGTTTGCCCTGTATTGGCTGGAAGAATGTTGAATTCAAAGGTAGAGGGTTTGGCAAATGAAAACTTGTCTATGTCGCTCCCGGCTTGGTACATGTAGAGGACCATGTCATGATTTTTCCATGTTTGCGATTGGTTATAGGAAAATAAAGCTGTCAGAGGAAAGGCAGAGAGACCGTTGATATATTTTGCACCAGTCTACTATAGCCTTGTGATAGAACAGGCCACTGGCATTTGAGGATCATGCCAGTCACACTGCTTGTCCTCCTGTCTAGAGACGCTCGACCTTTTCAAGATTCTGGATATCCGATATATCATAGAGATCGCAGACGCTGGAACAGTAATCAAGATAGAGGTCACTTCGGACATAACTTAATTTATTTATAATTCAAACGAATTAAATTTACTTTAAACAAAATAAAATGGAAGAGATGTCAACAGAGCAAACTTCAAACTATACACTTGTTTCGTCCTTCAGCTCCATCTGCCATCTGTCTGTGCCACTTATATACATAATTTTCTATCCGACTCTGGGAATCGCTGGTCTGTTGTCATTCAGTACTCTTCTACTTATTCCCTGCTATCGTCAACTTCGACAACGTCGATTCATGTTTCAGTTCAATATTGTCTTAGCAGATTTCATCACCATCATTGGAGTCACCTTGGTAAACATCGTATTTTCGGGAGAAAACTCAAAGGTATAATTGTAGTAGTATTTGATTCTTATATATTTTTAAAGACCAAAGTAAGGTGTTTTTTTTAAAAATTACTTTAATGTTTTCTGTTTTCGTGTTATATTGGTGATGGCTCTAAACGCTGGTATTGCTAGAGTATTCACTATAGGAAGCCCCCTCTGGGAGTGCAGTGTTAATTATATTAATACTGATGAGGATACCCTACATAGACAAGTATTAATTACTATTATTATTCCTTTACTCTAACATTTATCAATAGCTTGAGCTTCAAATGATTTCAGTACGACTAGTGATTGTCATCGGAACCAACGTGTCCCTTATCAACATCTTCTTCGTTATTCTCTCTATGCGCTCATCACCATTCGAATCGACCCCTTCGGTGTACGCAGCATCATCACCACTCCAAGATGCTTTGTCGCCTGTATCGCATCTTGGTTAACCACTTTCTCTGGAGTGAGATTTTTGGACAATTATAGAGATGCAGAACTTGGCGCCACCATTTCACAAATGGTATTATGTTGTTTCACGGGTGCAAGTATTTGCCTGATCTACCACGCTGTTGGTAAGGCTCCATGCAATGGCAACATCCAGATGGTGGAGAGAAAAAAAGAAAACAAACAACTTCTTCGGACATTTGCTTTACTTTATGGAACAACTTTGATTTCGGCTACATTGTCATTAGCTTTATCGATCAAATTTAAACAAAACAGGGCATATTACATAATTGCCAACCTTTTCGGAGATTGTCTGTACTTTATAGTCCTATTGTGTAGCATCTTAAATTTGATTACAAATTCTGTGGTGTATTGGTGGAGATTAAAAGAATTTCGTTCGATTCTGTTTTGCAACAAAAAAAGGGTGGTTCCAATATATATCGACGAAAGATTATAGTAATCTGTTCTGAAGAAAAAATATTCGCATTTATTTTACAATTTAGTTCAAAAGCATGTTATAACTAATGAGAAAGTCACATTAACTACATAAATGATGTCACTTGTAATGTAGGGGGAAAAGTACATTTCAAATGTTTCCTAAATGTATTCTTGAAGCAGAAATTCACCATTTCTGTTCCTTTGAAAATTACTACTTTGTAAATAATATTTGTTCTAAATTACTTTTTTCTTCGCTTTTGGTATTATTGTTAGTTCTCATCTGATTGAAAACATATCCATGACTGTTTTTTATTTCATTCTTGGAGGGTTATTGTAGAAAAAAATATAAAAAAATAGTTATTTTCTTCAAGCACAAAACTTTCTGTTTTCAATGTAGGGGTTTCATAGTTGCCTGTGATTTTAATTTTTTAATTTTTAAAGGTAAGAAAAAAAACGGCTACTTGGCATTTACTTGCAAACTTTAATAACTTTATTCTCGTACACTTCTAATTCGTATATATTGTTTTTCCTTTTGTTCTTGTTAATTCATGATTTTCGTTGAGTATAAGTTGAAGATAATTGTTCAAGATTCATAAAGCTCTGATGAAAAAGCTTATTAAACTGGGCCTTCTAGAATTTTGTCAATACACATATTTAACATTTATAGTGTTGGATCCAGCATATTCAAAGTCTTAATCAACCAATTAGATAAAGTGGTCAATCCTCGGCCCTATTAAATGGTGATTTAACATTTTAGTTTTTAGAGTGTATAGGGACACTCAAATTAGTTATTTGAATCTGTCAAATCCTATAAACAGTCTGCACATTTTTGCAACAGTATAATCTACCATCATTGAGAAACCGTTCACCTACAAATGACGATTACGAAAAAGAAACGACGCTTGATTATTATTTTTTCTTAATACAGAATAGTCTTGATTTAGACAACATAAAAAGTCCATCCCGACATAATAGCGTAAAATAAAGTTATTGAAAAATCCCAGTTTTATGCAGTAGTAACTTCTAATTACAAATACTGCTTGTAAATAAAAAAAAAAAACAAGTATTGGTTGTATTTTCATTGTATACAAGTGTTGATTAAAATTGGAAGTTACTCAAATCTTTTTAATTTACGTTTGACAATGATGTTGTAAATCGCTGTATATATGATTTATTTCAAAAGGTAGGCTTAACGTGTAACCAATACGAACAAAGGTTCATTTACCACGCAATTAATTTTGTTTTCGTTTTGACAAAAAAATTACCGCATGCGACAGAAGGAAAATATGGAGACATGGAATTGGATGTTCGTTGGAAGGCAGTTTTCAAATAACTTTTTAAGCAATTGAGTCAATGTAGGCAAAAAGTCGAAATTGTCTTCATCATTCCGTGTTTGATATACTTGTTGGACAACTTATTCTTTGTACTTCGATTATATTTTAATTTGTCATAGTTATCCGCCTAACGGGTTTTTTTTCATTTTTCTACATTTCTTTACTTTTATTTTGTTGGGAAAGGAAACAGAGTTATGAGCTTATATTTTTTTTAAAAGTATTGCGGGGTGCGTGTTCGTGCGGACCTGCGTGTTTGTGTAGGTGTGTATATGTATCTGTTTAAGAATGTTTTCTTCTTCTTTTTAAGGAGACAAATTAGAGCTGCTGTCATAATTGAAAACATTACAAGTGAGTACATTGCAGTAACTTTTCAATGTCAGCGTAATGACCCTCATATATTGAATGAAGAAACTGAGTGGCAATTAATTTTTTTTTTAATCTACTAAATTAGCGAACGCGTAAATAGAAATATTGTGCCCTCCATAACAGAAATGAATGTGTTGTATGAGGCCTACGATCACAAGATAGAAATGAATTAGTGTATTAATTTTTATTCGCCACTCTTAAGGTGTGTTTGTTGTAGTTTTTCCCTGCAAACCTGAAAATATACTTGCTGAGAGCATATCGATTTCAATGAATATTTGATGTGAAGATTTAATGTCACAAACTCCTTCCAGCATTTGGACTTACCTAACAGAGATGTCACTCAGATCAGAAATGTCTCTGTTATCAATAGTCAACGACCATTGATTTAAAAGATTTTAAAAGGGCAGTAGCTGTTGAATGCATAGGTCTAAAACCAGACTGATGTAATAAATGATTCTCGTCCAAGAATTCACTGACTTGTTGATGGACGGCCCTTTCTATAATTTTGCCATAATTTATTTAATAATGTGCAAAACCACAATGGATCTTCGTAGCAGCTCACTTTCGTCAAGGGTATAGTGAATAAAGTGTGCTAATTGATCCTAATAGCTCTGAATACGTATAATATATATAGTCACATGCTCTAATATCACTCTTTTACTTTCTTGAGTCTAGCATATATAACTTTGTCGGTCTCTGGCTGAGAAGCAGTTACATTCTCACAGTTATCTGCCCCTAATCAAAGTTGCTTAAATTAGCAATCTGACTTTTATTCAAGAGGGGCCAAATAGCCTTAAAGGGTTATTTTACATAATGTAGGGTGTAGCTTATAGCCTACAACACAATTCTATCCAACACATTTTTAAAAGCAATACCGTTTTAATGATACTCTTACCTGCTTTTGTCGCATCATCTGCGATACGCTGCTGCACAAGCAGATGCAAAATTGGACGTACAGTCGCGGTTGTTCAAAGTGAATGAGTGATTTATTCATTCATTTCATCTTTACTGATCCATGGTTTTACATAGAAAGTCTGTTTCCATTGGCTTTGTACATTAGAAGGGCAACGAATCGTTTCATTATCGAAAGACAAATCTGTGAAGGTACAATAATTTTTACAGTTAAAATACGCATAGAACACAAAACATTTTACATTTGTTATATATTTGTGTTCACGCATATTAATCTTTTAATGAATCGCATTTTATGAATCCATTACCATTAAATATTAATGTCTTTAATTTACATATTGGTTCAAGCATAAGTATTAACAGCTCGTGAAAATGGTCTATAATATCTACCTGTGCACGGATATAGTACGTGTAAATAACAATAAATACCAAATTCGTTTCAAATATTTACATGTATTCTTTTTGAAGGGACTAAACAAGAAATATGGATGAGACAAGAAATAAACCCCATCTATCTCAGGTCAACCAAGACAGTTTGAAATAGCCTGTGAAGGTAATAACAAGGCAAATCAAATCTGGTCCATAACTTATTTGATTCATGTGCACTTCCCGTGAAGTTCCAAAACGCTGTCACTTTTGTTCACAATGATCATCATATTTGCTATAATCACACTCAGGTCTAAATGGACATGACAGAAGTAGCAGTGCGCATAATGGTCGATTGGTTGTTGGATAGCTCTGCAGCAAACGTTTCCTTGAGCACTTTTAGAGGTGCTGGTTCCATCACACAATAACGGGCGAGCGAGGGAGCCAATTTACTATTTGCACCAACTAGCGGTAGGCATACACGAGGCCAGTTATATATAACACATTGAGATCTCCTAAAGCATGCACGTCTAAACGTGTCACTTCTTTAAATTTGTCATGTGGATATTACATTCAATTTTCGTTATAAGGGCTATTTGTCTTTAAAAATCCGAGAATTAACAGTACCTTTATAAGTCACGAAGTTGTATGTACAATAATGTTAATGTCCTTGAAAGATATTATCAACGTTGACAAATACAAAGCACACTATTTCTCCGGCATTGCGTAGAGTTCATTGTTGACCATTTCATGCTCAACCTCTTCGTTATTCTCAGGATATCGAGGTGTATCCCCATGTCTGTGTATGAAAGCAGCCGACCGAGGTAAAGTTTCAATGTAAGCCCGGCATTCGACGTACTCATAAGCATTCTCAGTGGCCAACGAGAGACATTGACTACGCGTCTCCTCGCCATCCTCCTCGGTCAGAACATGGTAGAAAGAAGATTCCACCACCGGCATGTTACCCATGGTTGGTTCTACGTCTCTTCGAATGTGTGTGTGTGATGTTGACTCGATGCCAGATGACTGGTGTGTACCGCTAAGATGGCATGGAGGTAGCCGAAGCTGATTTCTCATTGTCTGTGGGTCATTGGGAGGCCGCTCTTTGTTTTCGTGAGATGAAGCATGGGCATGCCACCTACGGGAATGATTGCGAGGTGTGTAAATCACCCGACGATCACTCTTTCTGAAATGTATTGAAGAAAACGGAAGAGGGGGGGAGGGGGGAGAGAAAAAGAGAAAGAGCTTATATTTTGCAGAATGGGGGATATAAATTTTAAAAAGTATCATTGTACGGATGTATCGCGTATGGATTATGAATTGGTGCTTGTGTCATCTCCACACAATTGTTTAGTACAAACTTGTTTGGAACCAGCAACATTGACAATTTGGCAAGTATGACGTCACACTTTGGTTCTCAATTTTAAGTCGCATAGAAAACTTGTTTGCATGACATAATTAGTGGTTATCGGCCTTTCTAAAGTTTGAATATTACAAAAGGTGATGAACGAAGCTATTGGAATTTAGGTTGAATTTTTCAAATGTTTTTACGATCTTGTTAGTAGTGGTGTTAGAAGTGGAAATACCTTAAACAAGCAAAGCGGACGATTAGGAACGTGGTGACGGCCGAACCTATCCCGGCAGTAATATAGATTGGGGTAAAATCACTGACAGGTGGTTTCTTTGTTCCTGACGATCCTTGCGGAAGAAGAGATGAAACCACAAGTTCAAGAAATCTTTTGAAATTTCGTCGGTATTTTTATTTTCCACATTTTTTTTTAGCAAGAAACCAATAGATATAACATATTACTTATACAAATCAAACACAAATAATGAATCGTCTTTACTTTGATATTGGAATGACAGCATTGCAGAAGAAGTCGGCAATGAGATAATTCTCAGAAATTTGCAAGCCCTCGAAAACGTATTAAAATATTTGTTTGTAGCAGCAAAATGAGTTCGTTAAAGTTCCTAAATGTGCAAAATTTCAGATCAAATGGATCATTTTTTCTTAATAAGTGAACATTGACGTCCTAAGTTTTTTCACAACAAATGGGGAGAATAAAATAATGCCAGTTGCAAAATTCAAATTTGAAAAGAAAATGACTGTACTTTGGTCAACAATGAATACTTCTCACTTAACCCATTTCAATGAAATGATTGTATGATACAAAAACAAAGTTATGGGCGCATACATACCATTAATTTCACCAATTCCATGTTTAATGCAATCGTTGTTCAATGCCTTAACCGGTTTAACTACAAGGATAAAACAGAAAAGTGATGCGAAAAAATGTTTAATAATCATCTACACTCTGATTTCACTCAACTACATTATCATTACTTTTTAAAAATCTATAACAGTGTGTATTTTTGTTACTTCTTGATCTTCGCTGTGTGTCTTTTGTATGTACTTTCTACATGCCATATATCTCTTGTTCTACATGTATTGAATTCTTTTCTTTGTTCTGTTTATCCATACATGTATATATTTATTAAAAAACAATTATAGATGTTTCCTTTAATGGCGAATAAATAAATGAGTGAGTTAACAATAGAAAAGAACGTGTCAGTTAGAGCTAAAAACAATAAATATAATCATACCATTAATGTAATTGGTAATAATAAGTTATCATCAATATTACTACCGTTGTTATGATAATCATTTTAAATACATCAGAAATTGTAGTAGTAGTAGTAGTAGTATATTACTTTTATTATCATTACTATTACCATTTTACTAATATTATTACGATAATACTTTGCTATTTATATACATTTAACTTAATATCAACAAAGACTATAGCTGAAGTATATTGAATCAGAATATGCATGGTTCTCAAAATTCATGTTTTACATCTTTTAATCATCTGTTGAGAATATTTCACAGGTTGTATACTAATGATATTCCGTTATAGATCCCTATATTACGGTCACATTCTGTGTTTATTCTCAAAATCAGCTAAGATGATGTTATTCTGATGAAGTCAGACATTCTTCCATCTACTTATTTTTTAATAACAACTTTTTAAATCTTCACATTCAATCAGCATGTCAGAATTGAAGGCTCACCAACGTAATGAGACGCAACAGTAAAACCACCGCATAATCTTTCCAAATCAGGTTTGCATGGTAAGCCACAGTTCTTGTCAGCCATCTGCTTGGCAAGACATGTCTGCTTACAGGAGCAAGCACACTCTGTTATGTTGTACAATGCTGCAATATGGAATCCATTTTCTTTACATGCTGCTGTGCAAGTGTCTGGTGTCGTTGTGTTTGTGAGGTCTGCATGGTAGTCGAATCCCAAGCAACCTCGAGGATAGCAACCGATGTAATCACCATCTGAAAGAGGGTACATCGTTTAGAATGAAGAAAAGGGCGAATGAGTTATAATTAAAGTATTGTGATGGTGGTGATGAAGAAGGTGATGGTGGTGATGAAGAAGGTGATGTCCGTGATGATAAAGGTGTACGAGGTTCTATTCGCTAAGTCACCGGAGTGTATATCACATTTTACGGGGTTCGATTCTATGCCAGGGCACTAACGTATTTTGACAGGACATTATTCTACATTTGCCGCACTCGACCATGTTGTTGTTAGTGCGGAATAGTAGGATTTATTCCTTGTTTGTACTGAGCATGAATGTTGCAGAACCTAAAGCCGGGAAAATATCAAAAGTTCCTTGGAAAATGCATAGTGTGATGAGCAGTGTATGATGATGATGATGATAATGATGATGATGATGCTGCTGCTGATGGTGATGATGATGATGATGATGATAATTAGAATAAAAAACACATACAGTTTATTAAATCAAATCAAATACGATATCATGAAAATCTGCTTTTCCAAGGAACGCATATGAAAAAAGACTTTACCTCTTGCACGTCTCTCTGGTACGTCGTTGGAAGGTTGAAAATCCGTTACGGTAGTGTTATTATCACTACTAAAAACCATCGTTCTTGAAAGTAAGCAGAGCACCATTATTCTATACATTCCTATATCTATATGGAACTTCGTATTGTCAGCTGTTCACCACATAGAGAATGAAGTTAATGGTTTGACCAGAGAGGTGATGTTTGACGTACATGTATGTGTACTATCCCAAACAAGGAACTGTTTCTCAAAGGACCGTGTCAAAATGGCGACGCAGAAAGATACGACCGTTGTTTCAAAACCACCACGTGATATGACTCAAATCACTTTAAAGCCGTCATTATACTTTAACTAATCATTGCGAAACCAAAGCTAATCTTATAAGCTCAGTTTCGACAAGAGTGTAGTTAATAACGTGTGCTAATTGATAATAATAGATCTGATTAATTCTAGTCTGTAGGCACATACTCTAATATCACTCTATTTACCAAACATTATTCGTGTCTTGAGCCGAGCTTAACTCTGTGAGTCGGCTCTGGCTGAGGAGTAGCTACAGTGCATGAACCATAGAGTGTAGTAGTCTGAGGAGTCACCATGGTCCCACAGTTCAGATACTCGGGACTTTTAGATTTGCGTGCACTGATACGTGGGACGTCCATTCAAGGCAGTGCATTAAAAGGACGTCGATCGTAGCAATCCCCATTGTCTTCGTGCGAATCTAAAAGTCTCTAATCTCTCATGAACTATGACTGACAAGGGTCAGTGTATTCAAACTAGACCATTGTCAGTCGTAGTGCGTAAAAAGAGTCTGAGCTTTTAGACTACAAAGACTTCACAGTCTATTGCGATCCATAGACCCTGTACTGTAGGTGCTTTGGTATAATTATCCAGAGACTGACACACTTAGGTTAGGCTCACGGCTTTGTGAAATGTGTTGAAGTGTCATATTGAGTCTGTGCATGGAGACTCATGACTTTGGGTCACAAGACTGAAACATTTCTTTCTTATTTAAACATAATTGCATTAAATTCTGTTTTCAATATGATTGTTCATGTAGTTCCTCCTTTGTTGAAATAATAACAATTCTGCAGTAACCGTTTTTTTCTTCTTGATCCTTTCTTGAGCACGCAAGCGATTTCTGTTGTTGTGGCCGTCAACACTTTTATTAAGAAATTGTGTTTGAATTATCTCGGGTAGTTTCCATATGTATGAATATAGCCACAAAAAAGAGCACACACACATAAAAATGAAATTTTAACACTACTGAAACATTTTAAAACTAAAATTAACGAGTTTGTGTTATTCGTTGGTCCTAAGTCCTAACGTATGTTGAGAAAGGAATATGATGCATTTAGCATAACACTTAAATTTAATTGAACAATTACATCAAAAACATATAGCTCCGTTTAGTCTAATTTGACAACGCCCCCTATCGTCGGAGTCCAGCAGCCTATAAACATGTTAGCCTATGGACTTTTACCCCAACAAAAAAATCGTTAAAAATTCATTTGTTGTTTAAACGAAAAGCACATCCACCCCGACGTACGTTATCACTAGCTCTTTCATTGGAACCCTCATGTCCCATTGACTTTTGACAGTTTACCCACCGTAATTTGGTCAAAATAGGTCGCCAGCTCGCCATTGCCTATATAACACATCCCTGGTCGAACTTTGGACGCAATTTACCACTCGATTGTACGGTTATAAGTCAAGCACACGAAGGATAACAAGCATGAATTATCATAGATCAGTAATCTTATTTGTTCATTATGTCCATTTCAGCCAACCCCCAGCGTAATTTTTCCATTTAGTATAGGCAAGCATTTTGCCGAGGAAAGCAAAAACATGAATATTCATGAACACCATGGACTATTCGATTATTAACAGAGGGGTGCAATTGTGCACCACATCAAACTCCCCTACTTTCAGTCAAGTATTTCATTGTATTATGTAGTTTGGTAGGTTTATTTACTGTTTAATTATCAGATATCAATGATAGTTTAAAGATATGGAAAAGGTTCTTGTATTTTATATTTAGCAATGCAATCTCACATACAAAATCACTTTCAAGAGTCGTCTGATCCGCCGATTGCCGTCTGCAATATACGCGAACTAGCTACGTTTGTGCTGGCGAAAAGGAGACAACCGAAGCAATATGTCTACAAGGAAAGACTGTCCTTTTTTTGCTGATAACAGCGTTCAATTTGACGCCTAAAGCTTAAAGCCAATGGAGGAGTCTTTCCGTATTCAAGGATTATCAAGTACTCATTTAAGGCATACACGTAACAACAAATCATTGTTTGGGCCTTGTTTATTTAAATAATAAGCCCTTAATGATTAAACATGATACAATTTACCCTCCCAATGGAAATTTACATATAGGCCTATATGTAATCCGTAGTTAAAAAGAATCCACATTTTAGCCGTCTCAAATGATCCGTAAATTAACTTTCGTTTAAAACGGCTACTTCTCGATGAAAAGTATAAAATTAACAATGCCATAGAACATTCATAACAAATAAAGAACCCGAATTTATCATTGTGGCAGGTCACCATGTACATAGCCGCGAACTACACACGGGTGTATGCCCACTCTTCCCTAATTGACGCGGCCTTCTCTTTCTCACTTATTCACACACAGGCACGCACACACACACAAATACACGCGCACACTTTTTTAAATATTTGTTTTAGTAATTTTGTTTTATTCCTCTAAATGTGAACCAAACAAGAACACATACAATTGAATGAATTGTATAAATAACATACACATACACATACACACTCACACACACACACGCACACGTACGGCTAGACAAGACGTAATGGAACATAAATTGTGGGAGGTTGTAAATCAAGTTTAGACCGGTTTTACCGAGCTGACTTGAAAGATGTCCATGTACACACATGCGTCAAAACCAACAATTTAAATTAGGTCACGAATTTTCTACGTACCTAACGTCTTTATCAAGTTATATGTATATTCTCTTATATTATACATGTATATATAGTATAACTTGAAAAGGTATGTTCTGTGCCATGAACAAAATAATACAAATCCATGATATCTGTAATGATTTCTTTACTTTTCTCCACGTTGGCTCACACATGAACACATATTTCACTTCAAATGAACATTTCTTTTTGTTAACGTTTCATCCTGGTCATCAAAATTAATTACGACGGTGTTCACATTTACATTAATTGATGCATGTTCACGAAGTGCACTTATTACGTACACTATGTTCAAAAGTAATTATGTATTCAGCGAATCATAAAAATGGTTGGGTGAAACTTTTGAAGTAAATGACACAATTATTTCAAAGTCATGCTTCTTTGAAATATTTTTATATATTTTTTCTCACATGTATGTATTTTCATCAATCAAACTTGGTTAACCAACGATCTTACATAATCAACTTCAATTACTTTAGTTTATATATCGTAAGCGCACGACAAGTCTCCGGTTCATACACGTTTATCTAAAAAAAAATCTGCAAACCTTTCAATTTGTTCACGGTTTCATTTTGGAACGTGTTCTTAATATTGTGGCACAAGACTTATTGCTGACATTGCAATTTCTTATGTAGGTTCTATGTTAGTAAAACGTAAACATTGACACCTGGACAATGATATGCTAGTACCCCAGTCACACCGAAGACATCGACGTAAGATAGACAACAGACATAACATGAAATGTCATTTTCCCCCACCGTCCATGGATCGGTCGCTATAGAGTCTCTCGATTACGCCTGCCGAGAGGTTACTTGATGTTATCGCACGTATCTTCACATCGAGAATAGATTATTATATATGAAGTAACCAATGTTATCATATTTCATATCTATAATACACCCGTCCATCTGACATCAGCCCACCACTTTTCAAACATCATTATCAGAACAACATTGTGACAACAATATTCGCAAAGCGATAAAGATATACAATGCGTATCAGTAAAAAGTATACCAAATTTTGAAACAAAGTATACTGTCAATTTCTTTAGTACTTATAAAACATATGTGTTCTCCCTTGCATTTACTTAATATTAGTGAACCTATTAACTTGTGTTCATGTGAAACTCGAGACAAATACATTTGCTTGTAAAGTTGCGCAATGGACTGTTTAAAAATAAATGAAGATTGTCCAATGTATTGAAATGAAGCCAAGTGAAAGCTTAGATACATTGATTAAATCTATTTAAACAATGTCAATGAAACACTAAAGCACGAAGAAGACAGGATTTAACTGTAAAAAGGATTTTTAATTCTTAAAAGACATCATCCAAATTTAGTATAAGGACACTTTGACCATGGTACGTATCATTCATGGCAGAAAACTATGGTATCAGTTACAAGTTACTATTTCGATGGAAATGATTTCGAAGTCACATTGGATATGACTTTTGTTTAATATGAGCTACGAGAGTTGGGTATAAACGTGATCATACGTTTTGTATATTCATAGCATGAATAATGTTATCATTTTTTTTTATCGATTTTGACTAAATTACGAAAGACCCTGGCGGTTGGTCATCTATGCCAGCAAAAATAAATATTGGGAAAAGTAGACTGAAGACAAGTCACTCTTTGTGACGGAATAGCTACGAATATTCAATTACCAAAGTTGCGAATACTTTTTTTCGTATATGTACTGTACAGTATAATCATATCATGAAACAATGTTATCACTTTTATAATATTTACAATGATCCCCCGCACCTGTCGTCAACCCACAGTTTTCAAACAACATTATCAGATCTATATTGCGACAACAAACTGATATATCATCATGTCATGGACTGTTCTTGAGTCATTTCATTCGAGAGAAGACGTCGTACAAACACACGCAAATCGCTTCAAGATGATTCGTGCATCGTGTCTCCTGCTTCTAGTCTTTCAAGTCTCTCTGGGTCTAGCCCACGAGCCTGAGGGCATGCTGGCTGGGGTACTGTTTGCACCCTCAGAGGGTCGCCCCAAGAGGGATGTGACCGTGCAGGGACTGACAGAGGCAGAGAAAGCAAACATTCTGGACCGACACAACATGCATCGTGGTGATGTGTCTCCTTCTGCATCCAACATGGTTGTACTTGTAAGTATTTTCATTACTACCCAGCAAACTTTCCTCTCTGAGACCTGTAATTCACCATCTTCACAGCCGATAATTTTTTCTTGATTTTTTTTTCGGCAACCGAACAGTATTTTCTTAACGTAGCTCTGTTGTATATTATCCATCATTTCCTGCAGGTAATAAACACATGCGCAAGAACAAATACCCTGTCTTTGTAAACTGACAAGACTCACACTATATAATGCCGGTATTAAAGTCAAAGGACCAAACTATAATTCACAAACCCTCTGAGGTTTATGAATTACCTGTATTCTCTAAAGAGATCAAAATTATATATACAGTGTTTATACTTAAATAAAATATATAGCGGTTTATCTTATTGTATCAGATAATATGTTGAGTTTTTGTAACGGTTATTCAACCATTAACATTTTGTTCTTTCACAGTACTTTGAAGATGGGTTTACTATTGGTTTTATGACCTTACCTTTTGAGAAGGCCATCGGTGTGGTTGCTCATGATATTCTACTTCTATAATTTGATAACTTATGTATTCATGATGCAGGTTGAGAATAATTTCAGGACTATTAAACACCAAGAAAACACAATAGCATTATAGGCTATTAAGTGAGATTGCAATATAGTTAATGTACATGCGGTGTTCCACAGCGCATTATATTAGGATCCTTACTTTTTAAATTATTTTTCATGATGCTTCAAATGCCATGAAATTTAGCACCATTTCCGTTTGCTGACAATACTTTATAAACTAGTCTTCAGATATAAATACTGATGATTCATGTTGAAGTCGTAACTCTAGGTGGTTGACGTGGAGTGGTTATTGAATTCTAAGCAAAGTGAATTTGTTTATTTTGAAGCTAGACGTAGATAAGCATCATTTTGTAAATTCACTAGTTCTATACAAGTTCAAATACAAGTTAGCCGACAAGCCCTTGAAACGCATGCTAACGTCATTACACGCGTATCAATGGGATATCGGCGAACAAGTATTTACGACGGTTTCGTGAAACGTGACACTGATTTACAGCATATCCCGTGTTAATGTGATCAAGCATCACAATACATGTCATGTTTCTCTAATCCACCAGCAATGGAACGACGAAATAGCGAAGGATGCGCAGGACTGGGCCGACCAATGCATCTTCGCGCACAACCCAAGTGAGGATCGCAAGACAGACCAATGGGATTGGGTTGGCCAGAACATGGCGATGGGGTACGGCCATTCACTGAACATCTACATAGATATGTGGAACGATGAGAAGAAGCACTATAATCATGCCACCCATAAATGTGACAGGGGAGCTGTTTGTGGACATTATACACAGGTATCAAGCGTGCAGATGATTGTTATAATCCTACATATTTTAAATAGATTCTAAAGAATTATTCATTATCTGTCGTTCTTGATCATGAATTTTCTCAAGAAAAAGGGAGATCTTCAGGGAGCATATTGCGTATTCCGTTCGTTTATTTACCATGTCGTAGTAGATCCATGGCTGTAGGTAAGTTTCAGCGATTTTCTAAATATGGAAACACAATAATTGAGGTTTTAATACTTGGTATGCTTTTTATACCCTTTATTTTATTTGTACTTTATCTGTACTTGATTTTCATTGCTTTTTATTTCATGCTGGTTTCTCTTGGTTAGCATACTTAAAAATAGCAAACTGTGCATACAATTCGCATAGGCTGTCTTTTTAACAGAATGTTTAATATCTGAAAGTTGTTTGACTATCATGCATCCTCATTATCAATACTATTTTTTCTGTCTCTCCCTTATTTGTATACTTATCCTTATACCTCTGCCCCGTGTCTATACTCTTCATCTCTCTCTCTCTCTCTCAATCACTGTTCTATATTTCCTCTCCCTTTACCCATTGTCTCACATTTATGTATATAATCTCTCTCTTTCCCTGACTGGCTATACCACTACAAACGTGTTTGTGTTCTTTCATCCTACCCCCCCTCTCTCTCTCTCTCTCTCTCTATCTCTGTCTCCGCCTCTCTCTGTCTCTCTTTTTCTATTTTCTCTTTCCTAATCTCTATTCATCTATCTTTCTTTCTCTCTTTCTATATCTTTTTGTCCATCCTCACCTCTCTATATCTTTAGCTCGCTTGGGCATACACTGAGTTCATTGGATGCGGCTGGACTGATTGTATCAAAGAAGGATATGACATTTTTGTCTGCCACTACGGCCCTGGGTATGGTATTTTTTGTTATTTATAGTACGTATCAGAAAATATACTAGAATGTATTACTATTGTACAAGCACCTCCTCGTTTGGCACCGTATTCTACATTATGAAGGGTGGTCTTCTGAAAAAGGATGTTTTAGTAACAAAGCGAAATGTGGAAAAGTCAATGGTTAACGTCTGCTCAAAGATGTAAAGTGTTGATGTCGCGTTATATACAAAAAGATAAGTTTTCAGAATACCGACCAAGAGTGTTTAATGCTCTACTATTCAATATGAAGAAGACAACAAACGATGAATTCAGCACTTCCCGATGAGTGATATATTCCTGTGAGGTCAAAGTTACATGTAAGAAACTGCCCCAGAAAAATAACATCAACAGAAAAGAGAAATTAACGAATAATAATCCGACCTGTCTAGTCTTAGTGCATTGTATCTTAGTTTATATTATGAAAAAGAGAAAAGTTAACTCCGTCTCTAAGCCGGAACGCAATTTATTAATCCGAAATCGAATTAAAAATATTAAGATACTTTTACGTTCAGTACTCTCACTGATGCCCCCCACAATAAGCACATGACAACTGATGGACAAAAAGGGCATAAAAGCCTTACTATAATTAAATAAAAAAACTAAACGAATGAAATGAATAAGATGGTAAATCCGTAACGTTAAATTTATGTTTCTTCTGTTATGTATTTAAAGATGTATGTGAGTGTAGTAGGTAGTGTTTGTAGTATTATTATTATCATCATCATTAGTATTATTATTATTATCATTATCATCAACTTTTACATTTGAATATGATTTGTTTTCCTGTTAATATCCCTATCGCCGTTTCTTCGACATCATCTTGTCATTTTAGCGGTAATTACGCTTCAGTACGACCATACGTAGAAGGGACGTCTTGTAGCAGATGCCCAGCGGGCTACCGTGGTGGATGTGCTGATAACTTGTGCCAAGGTAAGTTGAAAATCGTAAAATTTTAATCAAAAATTTCACACAACATACACAGTTTTGGTATGGGGTCATGAATTTGGTTCAAATGAACATATTGGACGCATATGCGGTCCTACAATATTCAGTGAAAGTTATGAAATTGTAATTAATAAACTATTTATGTTGTATAGCTCCCTCTCAAGGTCAAGATATAAATTAAGCTATAAAACAATGTTTCTTGACTGAAATCTACCGATTAGTTGTTCCCGATCGGAAATTATATATCACAACTACATATTCTGAGATTATCATGGTCGCAGCTACCATTGTACAGCCGTAGGCGCTATTTGAGATTTATCAAAATTTACCGGGAGCACCGGTAAATTGTTATATTCAATTTTTCTCGAAAGCAGTAGTAGTTTAGGGGCTACATTTTCCAGTGCTTATAATACATCCACAGGGGCATCCAAATATATCAAAATTGTAAAGAATCACTATCCACCCAATTTTCAAAATTTCCCAAAACTTTGTATTACCTTTAAGCACAAAGAGAGAAATAAAGAGAGAAAGAGAGAGAGACAAAGAGATACATTATAGGAGTACAGTACCATATTAAGTGTATCAGACTCACAGTCATTGAATACGGAATGCATTACGTAATTTAATTAGGCTTATTTCTCATTGGTCGTGTTTTTTCAGATTCAAACACCAAGATTTACAAAATCAAAAAAGGGATGGGGCGTTAACCCTAAGAGAAAGTTACTTGGGTGGAAGCAGAAAATTCAGAGAAACAGAATTTAAGGTTTGAAAAAAAAGTGAAGAAAATTTATAATTTTGCCTGCATGCTAGTGCAACATGAGGGTAATTATGTTTTCGACCAACTTCTTGGCAGTCATAGGCTGAACTTAGGCTGAATTTACGCCCCGGTATAGTAGGAAAAAGTGATCGTTATTTAAACTAAACTTGCTATGGAATCACCCCCAAATTTCTTTGAAACGTATTACCCTTATGCTGGGTAATTTTAAATGATTACTTTTAAAATGTTATAGGCTCCTTTGGTATTCGACGCATTGCTCTATTTTGTTCATCATGTTTCCTTTACTTATCGAAATATTGCATTCTTTTTATTTGTCGTCAGTGGGTTAGCTGAATGATGACACCCGGAGACAGATTGACACCCTTCAAGTAGGGAATCAATGTTGATTAATAATCACAATCAAGGATCTTCTATTTCTCTGGTCTATTTCGTCAAATACCAATCGATATCAGAAAATAAATTGCATGATTTGTCAGGTGGACTGTATGTTATGATAGTTTGTTTGATTTTATGTCCATTTCAAATATGATTTGAGTGCTGGTTGGTCGAAAAGAGTGATGAAAATGTATGTGAAAACTGTGCTGAGAAAAATATGAAAACGTGGACTTTCACAAAGTATAACGGCCCAAATCAACCCCATACATTAAGACTTCTGTATAGGTTACTACAATGCGTCAGTGAGTAAACTAGACCCTTATTTCTCAATTGAATCGTTGTGTTCAGCTTAAGAACAGCTTAAGAAATGTTAACACTTCACATCCAAATGGAATGAAAAAAGGACAACAATTGTGAAAGATAAAGAAATCCAAAAATGAAAAAGGCGAAGTTAGATTGTAAACTTTTAGGATATAGGGTCATTCCATGTCAAATTACCTTTGTAATTTTAAACTCTATCCTCTTTATTTAAAACTTAAAAAGCTGAAATGCCTAACCTTACCCCCAATCAGCCAACTAGCATATAGGCCATACATCGAAAATGGCATATAATATATACCACTCATCTGCCCTAAGAACATACAGTTAAAAAACAACACAAGCCAGTAGAGCTTTATTGTGGTGGACGCATGTGTGCGTGAGGGTGTGTGCATGGGAGAGTGGTGGTGAGGGGAAAGTGGTACACGACTAGAGATGGAAGGTAACATTCAACTCGTGTTCCAAATCAATTGTTGGAAATTAACAGAGTAATTCTCCATAAAGTTTTAATGTTTATTTCTTCTTACATCCTTCCATGATATGTCTTCCCTTTTCATGTAGATATCGTTTATATCTTCTCAGAACTCTTTTGATCAATCTCTATGACGATTTAGATACTTTGATCAATAAAGTTCTGAGCAATATAAGTTTTATCTATCAAGAAAAAAAAACATATTGCCACAATCTTTTCATGAAAAGAGGTTAGAACGATATTATTACAACTTTATGGGCAGCGGTGTATAATGAGTTTGAAAGATTATACATACTATTCACCTCTGTTAGAGAACCTGTGTGAAATTATGATGCAAGCAACATATGACTATATCACTATCCCTTACCACCTCTGAGAAGTGCCCTTCCCCCTCTGAAAAGTTCTTCTTTTCTTCATTGATGAGAACCCCTGTTCATCTGTGATAAGTGCCCCTTTATTTCGATACGTGCCCCTTTCCCTTTCCAAAAAGTGACCACTTTCCTTATGATAAGTGCCCCTTTATGTATGTTGCTTAAGCAGAATCGTGTACCAAGTAAAGAGAAAAACAAATATTGATGTCATCCGTGGTAGTATAAGCACACTCATGACGATGTAGGGGTTCTGTGTACAGAAAAATCTTTAGCACGATTGAGCCAACTTCTTTTCACGTTGATCATTTCAAAACTACACAATACACATCAATTCTTATGTACGACACTATAAAACAACTACTTTTCACACAACCACCACAACCACATTACCACCATCATCACCACTACCACAACAACAACTGCGACGATCACGATCACGATCACCACCATCACCACCACCACTACCACCGCCACCAACACCGCCACCACCATCACCACCACCAACATTACCTCCACCACCTCCACTACAACCACTGCCATCTCTTTTCCTTTTGTTACAGTCCATTTTAATAATAATAATAAATAATACTCAGTTTTTATATAGCGCTTAGAATCAAGCGCTTCCAAACTTGGAGATTATTACCCCGGCTTTAGCTGTGCTGCCATTGCGGCGCTCTAGCATTTCGAGGAATTAATTCCTACCAGGTACCCAATTACATCACCTGGGTTGAGTGTGGCAAATGTAGATCAATGTCTTGCCAAAGGACATTAGTGCCGCGGCGGGACTCGAACCGCGGACCTTGTGATCGACAGTCCGGCGACATAACCACGTGACATATGCCCTTTACGGACAAGCGGGACGGAAGTTGTTTGGTAACACAAATACAACTAAGCAAAGCACGAGTTTCTGAATATGTATTAATTGCTACTGAAATTTATTGATCACAATTTAATATAATTTCATCTATCACTGTCTATTGGTCGGAAAGTGTGTGACATTATCAGTTTGTGTGCACACTGACATGGAAACAAAATATTGACCAAAGTGAAAAGAGGCGTTCGACTCTCTGTCATCGTATCCCTCAAATTATTGTTTTGTGTCAATTCCAAGGCCAAGTTAAAAACATAATATGGGGCTTCCCCGCACAAACTGGCGTGAAAATTAACTGTGCTATCTTTTGAATTCGGTTTGATAAGGTTTTAGTAACTTTATTTGAAGTATGTCGAACCTCAAAGAACGATATTATGGGCAACAACATAAAATAAGGAGAGTTCTGTCTTGGACAAGGACCTCCTTCCTTATTTTATAAACCAAATGATTTTTCATGTATCTTACGAATGATAGTTCTGTTGATGTTTTTAATGAATAACTCATATCAACTTATCTTGACATCATAGCTCACGCCTTTATCAGATCATTATTGAAGGTGTTTTGTGACTACTTATGAATTTTAAGTATGGTACCCCCACCTCCGTTTCATACAACGAATAAGTAAAACTGTGGGAGTAAATGTAACTAAAGTGCTTTTTCTTCCATAGTAATTATGAAACCTTTGAGTCTTTGCAACTTTTGAAATATATTTGTCATGCTGATATATTGTTACGGACATTTCTCGTTTATAATTCATCAATTACAAATGGTTAGAACTGTGATTTGTTAATGCACAGGTTTCAACGGTTTCCATTTTCATAATTTAATAGTTTCAGTGGTTCGTTTAAAATCATCTCTTGGTCTTGTGGTACAGTTCAAGTTCAAGTTTATTTGTCTTTCTTCCAACATTAATGTAATACGATTTAACAAATTGATAACATGTCGAGTATATAAAAGGAACAGTTGTGAGGATCAAGTTCATATAATGCATTTAAGTGAGAAAAAAAAAAGAAATGACGAGGAGACCTAATTAAAGCTTAGCTTGTAGAGGTCAGGTCCCTCAAAAACAAAAACAGCATTTATTGCTGACGTTGACATTTCTCACGTAGGTTCAATGTTTGTAAAAATGCAAACACTGACTCTCTGAAAATGATAACGCCATTAGAAATTCATAGTTTACTTGGGGTGTTGCTAGCACTTGATATTAAAGGGTGTTCAATGGGAGCAAATGATAATGATTCCTAAAATCTTAAAATAATCGACAAGGGTATTGGAGGGGAAAGGGTGTCGTGTTATAACAGAAATGAGCGTCGTACAAGAACCCGCTTTTCGTATGATTCTTCTTCTTATAATTATTTTTATCATTATCATATCATTTTTTTTCACTATCATGACGTTATCATCATCATCATCATCACCTACTTTTCTGCCATCCACGTTTACAATATTTGACAGTCTGAGAAATCATGTCATTGTGTCATCCTATTACTTTCTTGGTCTGTCTCGTGGTCTCCTGTTTCCTTCTTTTGTGTAAATAAGGCTTACCTTGTCTGTTGTTGTTTGTTTGTGCGTGCTCGTTGTTTTTTACATTTAGAATTGTGGAGGAGGGTCACACCCCTCCATTTCCTTTTTAAAAGCGCTCGTGAAGCAACCTCATGCTAATGCACGTATCTTTACATTTATTATATTATCATATTGCATATTTATTACAAGCCCGTCCATCTGTCTTTAACCCACCATTTTCTAACGTTATCAGATCTACATTGTGTCAACAAAATTCGCAAGTAGATAAAGAAAAATTATCACGAAACAAAATAAAATGATGCTATCATCAGATCATACTGTATCAACAGAAATGAACAATTGGATGGATAGTTTGTGAGGTATCTCATTCGAGAGAAGGTGTCGTACCAGCACACACACACACACACACACACACCCGCGCTCACTCTTCGTCTCAAGATGATTCGTGCATCATGTCTCCTACTTCTAGCCGTAGTCTCTCTGGGCCTAGCCCACGAGCCTAAGGGCATGCTGGCTGGGATGTTGTCGGCATCACCCGAGGGCCGTCCAAAGAGAGATGTGTCCGTGCAGGGACTGACAGAGGCAGAGAAATCAAACCTCCTGGCCCGGCACAACATGCATCGCGGTGATGTGTCTCCTTCTGCATCCAACATGGTCGTACTTGTAAGTTGAATGCCTACCAGCTCTTAACCACGTAGGACTAGTTCACACCCAAAGTTTGTTCTCGTTTTAACTGATGACCTATTCTAAGTTTAATTATTGTCCATGTTGCTGTGTATTGTCTATCCTTTATTGCATGTCATATATCTTTCACTTGTGCAGGGTCAAGTTCCATCTGGTTGGATAATGCATAGACCTACCACCCCTATGGTGAATGGCAAGGCTCACCATTTTCTATATCTACAATGTGTCTCAAAAGAATTCACAATTGGCATAAGTCGCCCCAAATTGATAATAATAATAATCATCATAATTTAAAGTCCACTCCAAATTGTATTCAACCGAAAATGGAAATTCTTTTTGCCCAATTGATCGTGAGCCCGGCAGCCACTAAGCAGCGCCAGATCGACGTTGCCCCTATCCCCTGATTGTTGAACCCCAAACGAGGTAGCAGCAACTCCCGTCTTTTATTTTTAACGTCTTTTTGGTATGTTGATAACACTTTCTAATCAATCAGCAATGGAACGACGAAATAGCCAAGGATGCACAGGACTGGGCCAACACCTGCATCTGGGACCACAACCCAAGTGAAGACCGTGAGACAGACCAATGGGAGTGGGTTGGCCAGAACCTGGCCAAGGGATACGGTTATACCATGTACCACTACGTAGATTCGTGGAACGAAGAGAAGGAGTATTACAATTACAACAGGGACACATGTAAGACAGGCGAATCTTGTGGTCATTATACTCAGGTATGAAACGTACAAATGCCTAATTAGCATACCCGGGGGGGGGGGGCTAAATGCCCTTTCTGGAATTTTGTCGTTGTTTGTGATTAATGATTTCGGTTAACCTTTTCTTTACCGCAATAATTCCAACGGCTCTCTCCATTCACTCGGCAAACGTTCGAGATTTGATATATTAGTTATGTGTTCTAACAACATCAGAATGGAATAACATTTTATTTAATTTCCATTGTTACAACACTAAAAAGGATTTATAATAACAAATACATGTGGAATAAGAAAGAAACATGGAATTGACTTCAGTTTGATATGGTACAGTTATATCTCCTATCGTGTATAATGGATACAGAGTTGGTTTGAAATCAACAGCTTCCTAAGTCTCTGAAATAAAAAGGGCGCAGATTTTCTTCAAACCCTAAAATTGCACGTTTGTTATGTTATTTCATCAACATGGGGGGGGGGGGGCGGGGTGGTCTCTACAACCCCCATCCGATCCACCAGAGGATGTTATCATAAGAAGTTAGAAACAAATCTCTTAAATAGCATCGTGTTATCGATCTGGACATGCTGAGGGTTGATTGATATTGTTGGAACTTCCTTTGTTGTTTTGTAAAGATTGATTTGCAGTTAGACTTCATTTCCTTTAAAGGAAACCTAAACCCAAATAATAAGTGTAGGTATTCTGCAAAATGAGATGTATTCCTGCCCTTTCATGTACAATATTCCTTACGAAAATGTACAAGATATATATAAATGAAGATATTCCTTGCATGATGTGATGCCTGTCAGCATGACATGGGCGCAGCCATTTTCTTAAAAATGTGACGTATCTGTTGAAGTTGTACATGTATCATGCACCAAGCTTTAGTTGGAAAGAATTTTTAAATCAATAACGAAACCTTTACTTTTCAATGAAAAAAAATAACAACTGAGATGATAGAAATCATATTAGGTAATAAATAAATAACAGGGGCACAATTGTAACAAATTCATTTATAAATACTACACTATAGCAGTTGACAAATCTATTTCATTTATGAGAAACCTTCAACCCAGAAGAGCACTAACTAATTTATGCAATATGCGTTCTGGCAATTATAGTACAAAGGAGGTGAATGAAATGCTTCATCACCAAACACGTCTGAGAAAGAAGCATCCATAAATTTGAATATATTTACTTGATAAACGACTTCGCATAGTACGTCACATTATCAAGAAAATGGCGATGCCCATGTCGTGCTGAGAAACTGTAATTTATTTTTGCTTTATACCTCTCTCATACACTTTGGTGGGGAATCTGTTAGACGTATGGGTAATAACATAATAAATCTCTCAGAATAAGTAAAGTTATTACTTGGGGTTCGGTTTCCTTTAACTCTGCCATCCCGTGTCTTAATTTGTATTGTAGATGAGTCGTAGCACAGTAGGAAGAATTTCAGGGTTGTTATACCGGTATATATATGATATAATGTAGTATGTATCATGCGTAAGTGAGTTATATTGTATAGTAGCTTCACTTTAATATTATTCTAATTTCATTTTTGTCTCTCCCATTCTGCCATTGTCTCTCTACCCCCCCTCTCTCTCTCTCTCTCTCTCTCTCTCTCTCCCATCCATTTATTCCTTACCCATACACTCTCTTTGTTACACTCATATCTCATATCTCATATCTCATATCTCTTCATATCTCTTTCTACCACTCTCTCTTCTCTTCTCTTCCCTTATCTTCTTTTCTCTCCCTCTCTGTTTGCCATCCCCATCCTATATCCCTATTTTAGGTCGCATGGGCAGAAACTCAATTCATTGGATGCGGCTGGAATAAATGTGGAAAGTATGATCATCTGGTCTGCCACTATGGCCCTGGGTATGATATAGTTATTAATATTACATAATATATATTATTTAAAAGCCCATCCACTACTTGGTACTCCTCGGGTAATAGAGATAAACATCCCCCTCAAAGAAATTAATAGCTTATACTACTCCGTCCCTACATGATGATTCAAAAGTTACCATGGTTGCACAATTCGATATCAACGCAAAATAATCAAATGAAGAAAAAAAAAACGAATTTTTACACAGTAAATCTCCATATCTCTGTTTCCTTTACTATGGTATTTTAGAGGTAACTACAGAGGAGAACGACCATACGAAGAAGGGACGTCTTGTAGCCAATGCCCATGGGGCTACCGTGGCGGATGTTCTGACAAGCTGTGCAAAAGTAAGTTGGTGATTGTAATAATATTCTGATTTTTTTTTAATTAAGATTTTCTGATGATATATACATTTTTTAAAACTACTTTTAGTTACAAACTTTTTATTCCTACCCTGAATAACCTCCACCCCGAAATACAAGTACATATAGCCACCTACTATTCGTTTTTTTAAATAATTTGTAATCGTTCTTTTTTTCTTCTTTCATTCATTATTCCAGTGAGTTAAACTGATGGATGACAACGGGAAGAGATTTGCCGCCCTCTCACGATCACCCGAAGCATCTATATTGGTGAAAATCACAATGAATGAACAGTGATAAAAAATTATAATTATACATGTATTATCAAATCCATGGTTGCATCGAATGAATGGATATAAGGGTGTCTTGTCCTCCTTAAGCTATTATTTAATCCTTATCTGAGATCAGAAAACTAAATAGAATCAGTTATATTGTTTCTTTTGATTGTGAGTTCGTTTAACTACTTGCTTTTTAATCTATAACAAGATCAACAAGTAAAATATTGCTAAAGCTGGAAGTACTCAGAGGAATCACATTTATGAAAGATAAACCGCTTCAGTTGTATTTACACTCTCTGTTCTAACTAGTTTTGTTGTATCAAATGGAGGAAGAGGGATACCATGCTTTAAATCATAAATAATTGCAAAACACCTTCAGTATAATGATCTGATGAAGGCGAGCGCTTTCATGTTAAGATAAGCTAACATGAGTCATTACGTCCTTGTTTTCACGAAGTGACGGTAGTGAGGAAAATCGTAACGCAAAATGAATGCAATTTTTTTAGTTGGAAACTTCAACAGAACTACCATTAATAAGATACATGAACCATCCGTTGGTTTAAAAAAGAAGGAATGACGTCATTTTCCAAGACAGAACTCCCCTTATCTCTGTTCATGACCAATATCTCTCTGTTTGAGGTTCGCCGTACTTTTGAATAAAGTTGATACAACCTTATTAAACTGAATTCAAAAGATAATCAAAGTAAGGTACAGCGCCAATTCGTGCGGAGAAGCCATGTATTATGTTGTCACTCAAAATGACGTTGGCTCAAAATAATAATCTTGGAGATAATATTTCATAGAGTCCAACGCCTCTTTCCAATTTAGCCAATATTTTGTTTTCATGTCAGTCTACACACAAACTGTTAATTTAAAACACCGATTAATAAAGAGTTGAAGATGAAATTATACTAGATTGTTAACAATAAATTTCAGCAACAATTAATATCATACATGATCAGAAACGCGTGCTTTATTTAGTTGTATTTATGTAACTTACGATACGACTTCCGTCCTGATTGTCCGCACAGGGCAATTATTGCCACTTAAAATGGACTGCAACAAAAGGAAAATAGGTGGTGGTGGTTGTGGTGGTAGTGGTGGTAGTTTTGGTGGAGGTGGAGGTGGTGGTGGTGGCGGTTAGGGTAGTGGTATAGGTGATGGCGGCGGTGGCGGTGGTGATGGTGGTGATAATAGTTGTTGTGGTGGTGGTGGCGGTGGTCGTTTGGTGGTGGTGGTAATTATGGTGGTGATGGTGATCGTCGCAGTTGTTGCTGTGGTGGTGGTAGTGGTGATGATGGTGGTAATGATGGTTGTGGTGATTGTGTGAATAGTAGTTGTTTTATAATGTCGTACATAAGAATTGATGTATACTGTGCAGTTTTGAAATGATCACAGACATTAGTATATGATCTACACACAACATAATGTTTGGACTAAATTTTTCTTAGGTTAATTTCTTGTTTAGATTTCGAATAACATGGCATATAAGGAGCAATCCCTTTCAAGAGACATTTCTACTATTATAATGATGTTCTTCCTAACTGATACTTAAAAAAAATGAGAAAGCTTACAAATTATTTGTCATCTTCGCCAGAACTCAACCTTTACGTATTCCGACCTGTATGCATGCAAATGTATGTGGTTGTATGGGTCTGTTTTTACTATTCAAACTGGCGGGTTATAGACAAGGTGTTGGAACATATAATAATACTCTCTTATTGGATATGGTTGACCTTTAAAATCATCGTTACCTGCTAGAATTAAAAACTTTCTACGTAAATTCAAATGAAAATTTTGATTCAACTTGTTTACAGAATACGAAATGAATTAATAACAAATAAAAAAAAGTGAATAAAACGAAAAAAAATGAAAAAATGAAATGAATAAATAAACAAATGAGTGAATAAATAAATAAGGATAACGAAAGAAAGAAAGAAAGAAAGAAAGGAAGAAATAAAAAAAAATAGATCAATAAATGATAAATAAAATAAAACACCAATTTGGCTCTAAAAACAAGCAATTAGAAAGTAAGAGGGCGTCGGAATATAGCATTGATAGGGATGAAACCTACTAACTTTCACCTTTCATTACATTCTATCAGGTACAATCATGTCATTAAACGAAGCACATAGACATATTCTTGTCCAGGGTATTGCGAATTGCACTTTTCAAGCCTGGCTCCTAGAATCATTATTCATCCGGGGCCTCCTGCTCCTGATGAGAGGCAATATTTGCACTCAAATCGATGTCCCGACTCAGATTACCTCGTCTCCTGCCTCTGCTCAAATAAAACGACGGTAGTTTACGTCATGGTCGTACTCCAGTCAATAATCAATGTTTTCCGTATGAGGGTGTCCCATTGTTACGCATGAGCTTCGAGACAGAGGGCTAACAAATCCAGCGTTCCGCTCGCCGCTTCAGAACAATTTCGTTAATAACTGCACACGGTTGTGTATGGGGTAGGAGATATTACCCCTGTAGCATCGTCCTAGGACGTGTATGCATTACTACAATTTAAAAAGCAGACTACATCACCTTTCGTTCCTCGAAGATATTACCCTTCACCTCGAACAGCGCTTTCTAACATAAATTGATAGAAGGTTGTGATTTCGAAGTTGAGTGTTTGTTTCGATTGCGTCATTTCAAGTGCCGCATCATGCTAGACACCTACGCGCCATTCGTGACGGCCTACTGGTCGCAACTACTCGCCGTCGTCGTCGGTTTCGTCGTCGCAAGCTTTGTTCGTCCATCCCGTGATCGCGATGGATCCGATTCATCCAGAACGGGAAAGAACACTCTCAGAGAAAATAACAACATCGCTCAACCGCCTTTGGCGAATGGCGACATCGATCGCCTTGTTGATAACCAGACGAAGCTCGAGTCATGTGAACCGAATGATGCAGGCGATACTGACGGTGAGAAAAGTGTTCATTTCTTGCTTATCGAATGTTTTAGAGTAATTTTGTGTATATTGTTTACAAATTAAGATGTAAATCTACATAAACATGACGCGAGAGTTCAATATAATTGTAATTGTTAATAAATATGCAAATATTTATCAGTAGCATACACCATCATTACATATAACCAATGATTTATTAAACATTTGGTCGTTTATTAAAATTGTATATAAAATTAACATGTACATGCTTGGGAACATGGGTATTTTATATAATACGAGGTCAAATTATACTTTGCAATTACATTTGCATATAGCATATTATAGTGTAAATTTCATTGAACAAGAAAAAGGAGAGTGAGGGAAAGAAAGGTTTAGAGAGATGATATCGAAAGAGTGATGTATTTGTAACTCCTCAGGCATGTGTCAGCAATCGCATGATCAGAGAGGTAGATATCTAGACAGGTGAGTCGAGCATCCTCGTAGTATAGAAGCAGGTAAGACCTGCATACCGCGTGAAAGTTAAGATACGAGTTTGGGAAAAACATTACAAATTATTCAACGTTTGTCTCATTTAAGACCTAGAGTTTCATGAAATCATATTCTTCAATTGTCTCCAAAATAATTAGTTTTCACCTGACAGAAGGAGACGAATTTCGTCAGATATTGTCTTATAGATAAGGTAACTTTTCTTCAGTCTGGAAATAGTGGTTGAAGTTGGATTATTCTGAACAGAACTATCAAGTTAGTGGGTAAGCAAGTCGGCCTTGTACATAACTATATACATACAGTATAATATCTTAGGACAACACTACGTGGCCTATCGTAAATAGGAATAGAGTCCTTGGAAATATATACTGATAACAATGTACACAATCATCTCCGATCAAAGTCTTGACATTTTTTGACGTACCTCCTGCTAGTGCTATGCTACTGCCCCCGTGGTATTTATAGGAAAACCATAAGCTAAAACGCGGAGTATAGTTCATACGGTGCACGTCATATTTGCGTTATCAGCATAATTTTATTTAAACTGCAGAATAAACAGACTGACACTTTGAGGGATGACAAATGTAAAAATAGGACCTTGATATTGAGATTTGTTTGCTCTGACACGTACTAATTTGGCTCACCATACAATATCGTACATAGTAATAGTATATTTTATTGTATTATGTTGACGCCTTCCACTCCATTGCAGGATGTCTTACACAATATTATGTAAAGATGTAACTCCGGTTTATTTCTACATTTGGCAGGTAACACAGATGTCAAATACAATCAACTAGCGTTTATCCTTTATTAAGCATAATAATTATGGTAGTAAAAGTGTCCTTAACTGATGACGATATTTAGAACAATGGTATTTAAAAAAAAATTAATTATAGGCCTGCGTTGTCTGTTAAAACTGAAAAATAATATGTGAGTTTTCTATTGTATTCCCATCAAAGCGGCAATGTCGCATAAAAAATAATACTAAAATGGCCTCCTTCTCAAAATATGACGGAAAAAACAGAGAAGAATTTGGATTACACATGTTTTAGTTGTCCTAAACACTCAAACATGTGTGATGGACGTGCCTGTGATTTTCAGCAAGATGTGAAAAACTTGTTAAAAATATGATGACACCAACACCTTGCAATCAAAAACTATTCCTGCATAATAAGCCATTCCCAAGTACCCTCAAGACAATCATTTTACTATGCAATTGCGGTTCTCGACTTTACTTTCATTTCATTTAATTTCATTTATTTTCATATTTCTCATAAACATACATATACATATACATTTCAAATAAAGTACAATTTGTTTTCTTCTCAATAATACATAATAAATAACAAAGATAAGTGGTCAATATGAAGTACTGATTTAACTAAGAGAAATATGATGGGACCTACATGAAAGCAAACATGTAAAGCTGTATAGTCCAGTAGACGGTACCATATACAATGTACATGACCTGGAAAAGTAGATAAGTACAAGGTTTTTTTGTTGATTTGTGTTCTAGATGGGTATTGAAGTAAATTCAGCTTGGTTGCCAGCTTGGCAACCTTGGGCAACTTTTTTAATAGCCATATTAGCAGAATCATCTAATTAGCATATGTGCAATGTGTAATAATGTTGCTTATCTCAATCCAGGAAGCCTGAAAACATGGATAATACGACTTTTCAAGGGTTTTCTATGACAAGGAATTCATTTATGACACCAATTTTTATTTTTAAGTAATACAATTGTCTTAAATAGCATAATTAGCATAATATGTACAATATATGGACTTTATCGTCATTGTTTATCTATAAAACCTAAAAATGGTGCAATGCAACATTATAAATCACTTTTGAAAGATTAATCATTAATTCATGAGATAATATTCCATGTATATGAAGTGTAATTAGCCTAATTAGCATAATAATCTAATTGGTATATATGTGCAATATGTAATAATGTTGCTAATCTTAATCCAGGAAACCTGAAAACGTGGATAATATGACTTTTCGAGGGTTTTCTATGATGAGGAATTCATTTATGACACCAGTTTTTGATTCCAAGTAATGCAATTGTCTTAAATAGCACAATGAGCATAATGAGCTAATAAGCATGCGTACAATATATGGATTTTTTTCGGGGGAGGGCACGTGCCCCCCCCCCCCCCCCCGTGCTCCCCACGTGGCTACGTGCCTGGTCATCATACGCCTATAAGGTTGGGCTTCAGGCATTGGATTTAATAGAGACTGTCGGAAACACACTGAAGATGGTTAAAGCAGATGATAGTGATGGAATGAATTGATGATGTGGTGAGACAGGTACGTACGTAGGCCAGGGATGTTGAATACAACAGTGCGAACTATGATCTGTCTATGTTTACCAAAGCTAGAACCATTGAGAGTACAAGCCCGACGTTGCTCAAGCTTGTGGCAGAATTCTTGGAAAAGTCATATTATCCATGTTTTCAGGCTTCCTGGATTAAGATTAGCAACATTATTACATATTGCACATAATATGCTAATTAGATTATTATGCTAATTAGGCTAATTATACTACATCTACATGGAATATCTTCTCATGAATTAATGATTAATCTTTCAAAAGTGATTAACAATGTTGCATTGCACCATTTTTAGGCTTTATATATAAACAATGACAATGAAGTCCATATATTGTACGCATGCTTATTAGCACATCATGCTCATTGTGTTATTTAAGACAGTTGCATTACTTGGAATTAAAAACTGGTGTCATAAATGAATTCCTCATCATAGAAAACCCTTGAAAAGTCATATTATCCATGTTTACAGGCTTCCTGGATTAAGATTACAAACATTATTACATATTGCACATATATGCTAATTAGATTATTATTCTAATTAAGCTAATTACACTACACATACATGGAATATCTTTTCATGAATTAATGATTAATCTTTCAAAAGTGATTTACAATCTTGCATTGCACCATTTTTAGGCTTTATAGATAAACAATGACAATGAAGTCCATATATTGTACATATTATGCTAATTATGCTATTTAAGACAATTGTATTACTTAAAAATAAAAATTGGTGTCATAAATGAATTCCTTGTCATAGAAAACCCTTGAAAAGTCGTATTATCCATGTTTTCAGGCTTCCTGGATTGAGATTAGCAACATTATTACATATTGCATATGCTAATTAGATGATTATGCTAATATGGCTATTAAACAAGTTGCTCAAGGTTGCCAAGCTGGCAACCAAGCTGAATTTACTTCAATACCCATCTAGAGCACAAATCAACAAAAAAACCTTGTACTTATCAACTTTTCCAGGTCTGAAAAACTTCTACAGGACTAGTAGGCCCCAGTGAAGTATTTGTGGTAATAAATGGAGGACGGATATACATGTAATAGTGACCAGTCTAAATTAATCAAAAAATAAAAAGGAAATAATAATAAACTTGCGGTGGTGCTGTTTATATTATCCCTTACTTTCTTACAGTGTAGATAAAAAGAACACGTACTTTGAATCACGTTTATCTGCAAGTTCAAGTGGTGTCATGAGATTAGAATAGTTCTAGCGGGGTTTTAATGATTATCCATCAATTGGCATTGCTTGACACACTCAATCTTCGGTATCAAAACATATCGCAGGGTAATACATAACCGCTTCTATCGATTCTCTCTCTCTCTCTCTCTCTCTCTCTCTCTCTCTCTCTCCCTATATCTCCCCCTCTCTCTCTCTCTTTCTCTTCTTGCTTGCCTGATTATAACTGACTTTTTATGTCGAAAAATATCAATTTGGTGCTACCATGCACATCTCATTCAAGCTTTCTTTCAATTACGTCGCCACTAAGTCTAACAGACGCGTACCAATGAAAGTAACACGGAAGTTAGTTGTGAAATCAACCAACCTGTTCTCTGCGAAATATTGTCTTTTTCTGCTGCATTATTGTCTTCAGGAAAATTGGTTCGAAAATCAATAAATCATATAAACTTTTCAAATGCAACTCTATACTATCCGTAGTTAAATCGAAACTCAAACATTCTAATAAAAATGGCCAAAAAACTGCTGTGGTAAAGTGTTTGTAAATATGATTATGTGTGTCGGTATATACTGACACAGGTAACGGTCGTATACATATTTATACTTAGTACACGAAAATCATTGACGCGGGATACATGTAGTAAGCGAATTGCATACATTGGAACATATGTTAACACTCATTTAATAATAATAATAAATAATAATCAAGTTATATTTACCCATGGTATCCACATCAGTATCAATACTGCTCACTGTGGGCCCTGAAATCATTATTGCCCCAGTAAATGCATGGTACCCATTTATAGTCCTGGGTGGAGAGTAGTAAGCGGATCAATGTCTTGTCAAATGACGTTTGTGCAGGGATGGGGTTCGAACCTTTAACCCCCTCGATTTAGAGTCAAGTGAATGAACCACTTCACCCCGAAACCTCCAAATGTTGGCATGTATAATATAGGGTCTATGTTTATAATCAGGTTAGAAAATGTACTTGGGTAAAGATGTATTTACTACTAGATGTAGGCTATGCTAGGCATAACAGACATGTATATCTGTTGGTATTGGTATTGTTATTGGTATTTATTTTCCGTATCACAATGATAAAACAAACAAAACAAAGAAAATGCATGTATATAGTCAAATCAATGGTGTAGTGAATGGCTGGATACCCCATTCAGCTTTGTTAATTATCATTCGTATTAATTCACCTGTCTAATATCATTATACGTCATTATGATATCTCCCTGTTTCACACTTTTGCTATGAATAATGATTTGATAATCTGTTTGAGATGGATTCTAATCAATACGAAAACATAAACTGATTAGGATAAACCTGACAAAATGATATCAAGACTGGCACGATTCTAGCAAAATGTAAATATATACATGTATACACAAACTTGGGTTCTTGCAGTGATTTTCTACATGTGTCTCGTTTAAAATCATTTAGAAACATTTTTGGAGGTGGGCTTGGACTCTCTCCCTGGCTCCCAAGACCAAGACCAAGACCGTTTCACACATGACAAGTGATCTTTAACATGAACCTTTCAACATTTATCTTGACATGCGAACCAACTTGTCTTCTCACAATGGAATAAGCTTGACATTTCAAACCCCAGTCGCAACGTCAAAGCGATTCCAGACTGATCGATTACTCTCCATTAGGGATAATGTATTAGTTTCTTTGGCATGTCGTCGGTCTGGTGTCGGTCTCATCGGTGTGCCTGGGCCCTGCGTTATTAAACTGGACGTCATTAGGTCCTTGTCTGTGTGAATTTGTCACGAATCTGGAAGGTTATGAAAGAAAAGACAATTTTCTCACGGGTTCTCAACCTTCGGCGAGCTTTAACAAAAGGAGTCTCCAAAAATATCAGCAAAAACACACCTTTTGTGTTCGTAATTGTTGTTTCAACATTCAAAGTTCACTTTTGACTGTTTGCAATTTTTCGTCTCCCTCGCTTTTTAATTAACTGAATTATTATTTTTTTTGCGAAAATTCTTCATAAAGGGTTTCAATTTCAAGTCCATATTTTAGTACATAATAAGCTGAGGAAGAAGATAAATACGGTTATGCCATCAATTCAACACAAATTCACAGTATTGACATTTATAGTGCAATGTATTTCAAATTTTGATAAAAACTGTTGTTCGTTTTATTTCCTCTGTAAAAGAGCAAAATCTCAATTAATGTATTGTTAAAAGTAATACAAAGGTTTGGGAAATTTTGAAAATTGGGTGGATAGTGATTCTTTACAATTTTGATATATTTGGATGCCCCTGTGGATGTATTATAAGCACTAGAAAATTTAGCCTCTAAAATACTACTGCTTTCGAGAAAAATTGAATATAAAAATTTACCGGTGCTCCCGGTAAATTTTGATAAATTTCAAACAGCGCCTACGGTCGTACAATGGTAGCTGCGACCATGAAAATTTTACAATAATTATGTAGTTGTGATATATAATTTCCAAATGGGAATAGCTAATCGCCGTTGATTCTCGTCAAGAAACTTTATTTTATAGCTTAATAATATCTTGACCTTGAGAGGGAGCTATACAACATCACGAGTTTATTATTTATAATTTCATAACTTTAGACTCGATTTCAACCGCGACAACGATCAATGATTATTGTAGGATCGCATATGCTTCCAATAATATTCATTTGAACCAAATTCATGACCCCATACCAAAACTTTGTATTACCTTTAAAGCATCTCAAAGCACATTTTGGCTAGCAGGCTCTAAATCCTAGACAATGCGTTTAGTTTTTGAATGGCGTTTGACTGAAGTCGAAGGCCAATAATTGGAATTGCACAAATCGCGCCTTGCTGTGACATAATTTTATATCGTATTGTACTATCCCGCAATTGTTTGAATAAACAATTCTCAACAAAACATTGTATATATTCGATATAAACTACGTCCCGGTACCCGTTATCAAAGGCACCACTAGCATAACCAGACCTCAGAAGCTAAACATTAAAATTGACTGACTTCAAATAATCGTTTTCAGGTAAAACTTATCACAATTTATTAATATCATATTTTCCCAACCCATACACAACAGACCGTCCAACTAGCGCATTTAAATGGATTGCCTTTTCTCCAGCCCAGTGATGCTGCCACAATACAGCATCAACGATCTCTTCACTCGAATGAGGTTACATTCATCATGATCACACTTTGATTAGCATGAATTATGATTTCGCTGCACTTCTCGGCTCGCTGGTATTATCTTTATCGTGCCCGTTAGCCTCATATAAATTGCCTCAAAAATTGTGAAAAAAATATGAAGCATTCACGGCTGTATTGTTTCTTTGTCACACACAAAAAAGGAGAAGCTATTTTAATCATAGCACAGGGGGTTGTTTCATAAAGATCCTAAGTCGAACTTAACTCTTAGTTGGACTTAACAATCATGGAGAGCCATTTGTAGCCATAAAATTCAATATTTTAGACTTTTCATAAATTCCACATCAAGAACATGAAATCTTCTTGTTAATAGAAAATTTGAATGATTTGAATTAACATTTTATGCCTTTTTAAATAACTTTTACAAAATATTAGCATAGATGCTAACGGATTTCCATAATTGTTAAGTCCAACTTAGAGATAAGTTGAACTTAGGATCTTTGTGAAACACCACCTCCCCTCCCAGATATACATATAACAAAATCATATCGATATTAAGGCAAGTACAATGTAATTGTTGTTAGAGGTGATTTTCCGGTATCTTAACTAACCATAATTTTCCGTTAAATGCTTTACCATATGGCACCAGTTGCAACGACTTGGTTTCGAACCCGGGACATGAAGGTTCGGAGATCACTGCCCTACTGGTTCGTTCCAACAAACAATTACACACATTTTTGTTACAGAACCACCGAGTTAAAAATACAAAACTTGGTGCACCTAATTCACCATCAACAATTTATCCATCTTATGTGTATGTGTGTGTGTTTGTAAAATGCTTCGGGACCTATGTCAGTTCACTTTAGTGTGGTATGATGCTGACCCTCCCTTACCAACATCTGCAAAAGGTATTCACTAGTTCCCTTTAAGATTGATAGATGGGTTGATGATGTATGCATACATACTTCGTCGGCTATTGATAGTAATGACGTTGTACAGTAGATCAAGCTCATAAGTTCATGTTTATCATCCGTGTGTATATATTTTGTTTTACCAATGTTTACCAATGTTACCAACAGTTGTGGATACAGTGGCGTACGCAGGATTTTTTCAGGGGGGGGGGGTTAAAATCGGGCTCAAAATTTCGCAACGACTCAGCCAGCCGCTGAATAAGCGGGGGGGGGGGGGGGGAGGGGTAAGAGGACACTTTTTTTTTTTTTTGGGGGGGGGGGGTCTCGAAATTTGAAAATTTGACATTTTGTTCCGTTGGGGGGGGGGGTAAGGTCACCTTTTTGGGGTCAGCTATTGGCATAATTTTTTTTTTTTTTTTTTAAATTAAAAAAAAAAAAAAAAAAAAAAAATCAATAAATAAAAGGGGGGGGGGGTTCGAAAAAAAATACACATAACATACATATAACAAAAAATCAAGGGGGGGTTTAACCCCCCCCCCCCCCCCTGCGTTCGCGCCTGAGTGGATAGTCATATCATTGCCAATAGAGTAAGTCCTCCTTTGCTTTGTGGTTATATCGGTTGTAAAGTCATGACCAGGGCAATACAGGTGACTGGATTCATAACAGATGAAGAGGAAATGAAGGGGGACCGTAAGAGAATCAGAGGGAGGTGGACGTGAATGTAACATAGAAAACGAATGAACAGGGAATAATGATAATGGGGAGAATTGTTACAACTTATTGTCTTATGCGATGAACAGCAACGACTCAAGACCCTGAACACATCTCAACAGCATGGATGACTCAGACTCGTAAAGTTTGAAAATGTACGATGTTCAACATACGTTTTACAATGATAAAATATATACAAATGAAGAGAGAGAGAGAGAGAGAGAGAGAGAAAAAAATAAAGAGATTGGAGAGTGAAAGAAAGGGGAGAATTTGGGAAAGAGGGTATTGCCCTTTTCAATGAACCAATAATTTATATCACTTCTTTTACTCCTTCTCCTTGTTTTTTCTTCTTGTTCTTGTTGTTTCTTGTTCTTGTTCTTCTTTTTCTTCTTGTTCTTGTTCTTGTTCTTGTTCTTGTTTTTGTTCTTCTTCCTCTTCCTCCTTCTTCAACCCAGGTAATGATGTGGACGTTGACTGGGAAGCGTTGGCATCTGGAGGACAGCACATACCTTACAGTTTACCGCGGTATAATGACGATGAGATGACACAGCGGTCAATTCAGTTTTACCGCGACATGAACCAACGGCGATCCGTACGACTTTTTTCTACAGATCCCGTTCCAGCAGAGGTCATCGATAATCTTATTCGAACTGCAGGTATGTCCCTGTAAAAACAATAATCATGATAATGATAAACGAAAATGTACAAGGGTTTGATACATCTGACTAGATTAAAAGGGAAGTTAAATCTTTCTTTGAAGGAATAGGGCATATACCAAATCAATTGTCAATATTAAAAGAGTACACATCAGCTTTCAGAAGTGTATGGGAGTAGGAATAGATGAGTGAATATAGGTGTAGAAATAATCGTACTGTTACTATTATAATAATAATGATAGAAGCATGTATAGTAGTAATGTTAATAGTAGTAGTACTAGTACTAGTAGTATTGGTAGTAGTAACAGTATTAAAACGTAACAACCTATCATATATCATTATAAAAAACGCCTCCATTTTTCTTCAGGAACTGGTCCGAGTGGAGCGCACACCGAGCCCTGGACCTTCGTGGCTGTGAAGGATGTCCATCTCAAGGAGCAGATAACAGAGATCATTGAAGCCGAAGAGAAGATCAACTATGAGAAGAGGATGGGTCAAGCCTGGCTGGATGATCTTAAGAGTGTAGGGACTTCCTGGAGGAAGCCGTACCTCAAGACAGCTCCTTATCTTATTGTCGTCTTCAAACAGGTGAATGTTAGAGGAGAATGCAGGTTGTTATCAAGTTTACAATAATTTTTGGAGAAGCTATGATCTAGAGACAGCTCTTTGTCTTATTTTCGTCTTTAAATTGATAGAAGTGTTAAAGAACACATTTTGTTCAGTAAAATTGAAAATAACAGGCAAGTGTTAAAGAGGGTGTTGGGTCTGGTAAAGATAAAGGGTTATTTCTTTGGAAAAGGCATAATTTTAATATACGCATACAAAACGGAAAGGTCCCCTTAGACACGTCCTTATCTCAATGACGTTTTTAAACTGACAAAGATTTTTAAGAGAGTGTTTGGTTCGGTAAAGGTAAAAACAAAAATTCAGAGAAGCCACATCTGAAGAGAGCCCTTTATCGTTTTTGTCGTTATAAATGGGTTGATATCAAAGAAGGTGTTGAGATAGGTAAAGTTGGAAGTTATGAGTGAGCTTTTCCCTCCTGTTTGTTGTCGTAATGGAGATGAGTAGTACAAGTAACGTCGGTGAAAAGTATTGCCCATGAAATAACACAGCTTCACAAACAGAATGTAGATTCTGAGCAAAATTCAGAATATTACCCCACATTGTCTTGTTTGCTTGTGCTGTAGGATTGTAGATCCATTATAGCACATTGCTTTGTGATTCGGAAAACCATATAATCACGATATTCTTTGTTCTGTTATATTTTCTCTATGATAGTCATACGGTTTTCGAGCTGATGGAAGAAGGAAAACCCATTATTACCACGAGACCAGTGCAGGAATCTCTGTAGGATTACTCCTTGCTGCCATTCAGGTAATCATACCCATGCACGAAATCACTGTGTGTATGTCTATCTCATGTTGCCCTTTTGGCAATCGTTATTTCTACTGTGAGTGTCACTGTTGGACTACCTAAGGCCGCCAGTCAGGAAATTATTACCATAAAGGTTTGGGAAACGCTTGACGACAAGTCCTGTCCTCTATCCAGGTAACCATTCCCGGGATAACTATACTCCAGTATCTCTGTTTAGGACTATATTTGCCTCCCATTCAGTAAGATCAGAGTCTTTTCTGACCTAGCGCCAATCCAATCGGATATCACTATACGAATCACCACGTCGTTGTGGATATCGCTGTAGGACTACTTCTGTCAGCTATACACGTAGTAATTAACATGAGACCAGTTTGGACATCTTTATAGGACTTTTCTTATATAGTCGCGGCAGTCGCCATTCAGGTAATCTTTAACAAGAGACCAGGACCCTGTTTCATAAAACTCGTTATCAATAACAAATGCTAAATTTCTATGACAAATTTGCGCTCAGCCAATCAAATGCGATGATTTCAGTAGCTTACTGTAACTTGTTGTTAAACAAGGTGTATGAAACAGGGCCCTAGTTTGTATAGTTGGCACCAGTGGCGTACCTGGGGTACTCCGTCAGGGGGGGCAAGCGACCGAAACAAACAAAAAAGGCGATGCTAATTTTCACTTCTGGCGAGCGAGCGAGCAAAAAAAAATCTGTAAGTAACGTTTGGTATATAAACTGGTATTGTTGCAAGTTGGGGGTGGGAACATTCACTTGTTAGCGACGTTAATTTCATTTTTTTGCAAACGAGCGTAGCGAGCAAGAAAAAAAATCATTTCTTTTTTAATAATTGCCACTTAAACTTGGTTCAATTGTCCATGCAGGGCGCGGGAAAAATATTGTGTTTAGGGTGATTTTATACTCATCTTAGCTAGCGAGTGAAAATACATCTTTCTCTCAATGAATTGCTATATAAAATTTGTTTCATTGTTGCAGGTCGGGGGCGGGCACAATCGTGTTTAAGGCAATGTCAATCCCATTTTGGCGGGCAGGCAACCCCCTACATTTCTCTTTTTAATGATATTGTAGCAGGTTATAGTGGTGGGCACATAATTCCACGAGCTAGCGAGCGAAAAAAATCACTTCTCTTTTATAGGGTTCATTGTTCCATGTCAGAGACGTGATTATTAAAAGCGGTGTTATTTCTATTTTGGCGAGCGAGCGTAGCGAGCGAGCAAAAAAAATCACTTCTCTTTTATAGGGAAAATATGGTACATAAAACTTGGGTTCATTGTTCCAATGTCAGGGACGTGATTATTAAAAGCGGTGTTATTTCTATTTTGGCGAGCGAGCGTAGCGAGCGAGCAAAATGTTTGTAATGATAATTGGTTCATAAATTTCAGATTTTTTTGTTGCAGGTCAGGGCTTACACAATCATGTCTAAGGTGATGTTAATTCCGTTTTGGCGAGCACGAGCACACCAAAACTTCTTTGAATAACGTTTGGTACATAATTATTAACTGGTTGTTGCAGGTTGGGGCGGGCACGTTTGCGGTGTCAATTCCATTTTGGCGAGCGAGCATAGCGAGCAAGCAAAAAAATAAATTCTCTTTTAATAGAAATTAATAAATAAACTTGTTTTTATTGGTGCAGGTCAGGATGGACGCAATCGCGTTTAACGCGATTCAATTCTTTTTTGGCGAGAGGGCGAAACAACTCTTCCATTTTTAATGATATTGTTGCAGATCAAGGGTGGGCACAATTGTTTCCAAAGCGATGTCTATTCGTTTTATTCGCGAGCGAGTGTAGCGAGCAAGAAAAATGAATTAGTCTCTTTTAGTAACATTTGGTACATACATTGTGTGTTATTGTTGCCATGGTTGCAGGTCGGGGCCCGTCGGGGCACAATTGTATTCTAGGTAATGATAATCCTTTTCTTTTTTCAGGGGGACGAGCAAGTGAAAATATTTAATACAAAATAGGGTAGCAAGCAGTTCGCGCCAGCGAAGAGTTTCGAATTTGTTATACCACTTATATTTTCCTATTTACATTTGTCTTAATTTTTCAGGGCCGTATGCGGAATATTTTTCTGGTGGGGGAGGGGGAAAGATGCGTTAAAAGTTTTCGAAGAATCTCAAAAGCAAAAGGATTGAAGGGAGTTCGAGCGACTGAACTGGTCATGAGAGTACTTTTGCATTTTCAAAAGTAGAATTGAAGTATTTGGTATAGGCCTATACTACATTTTCGGGAAAAAAAACTGTACGTTTTCAAAATATCTTGGGTCAACTGCCCCCCCCCCTCTGGTGCGTACGGCCATGGTCTTTTTTTTAATTTCCCCATTTTTTTCCTTTCCTTTTCTTTTCCCTTTTTCTTCCTTTTCTCTTCTTCTTCCTTTTTTCTTTCCTTTTCCCTTTTTCGTTTTTTCTCTTTCTTTCCTTTTTTTCTTCCCTTTTCCTTTTTTCTTTTTCTTTCCTTTCCTTTCTTTTCTTTTCTTTCCCCTTTTCTTTTTTTCCCCTGGAGCCCGTCAGGGGGGGCACTCTGCCCCCCCTGCCCCCCCCCCCATAGGTACGCCAGTGGTTGGCACTCATTCCCTCCATACCTTAATTTTACAAATTCTTAGCTCGCGACTAAACATAATGTAAAGGAATTTGATTCTCATTCTATTTCTTATCAACTTCTACCTCTGTGTCATATTTCCATAGAATGCTGGTTTGGTGACTCTCACAAGCACCCCTATGAATGCTGGACCCAAGCTTCGTTCTCTGCTGGATCGACCAATCAATGAGAAGGTACTACTTCTTCTACCCGTGGGCTTCCCGGCTAAGGATGCTACCGTGCCCGATTTCAAACGCAAACCATTAGAACAAATTCTGATCGTCAAATGAAGAAGATGCATGTACAAGGTATATATCCAGCATGTTTAGTTGGATATTATTAGGATTACATGACGCCTTTTAATAGAAAGTTCATTTTTATGAGTGTTCGTTAACTCTGAAAATTGTTCACAATTCCGAAATCGTTCGTAATTCTGAAATTGAAATAGGTTCGTTTTTTGAAAGGTTCGAATTTACGGAGAGGGAATATCGAATATAGGCATCTGTAATGAATAGAATGAAATCTTGAAAACCGATCACAGAATTTCTCTACCCCATCAGTTCTATCCTCAATTAGTGCATGGACATATACTGCCCATCGTTTTAGCCCTTTTTTACAGGCCACAAGGCGGAGCGGAGGAGCATGATGTAAGGGAATTTTTATTAAATTGTCTACTATAGCCTTTAATGTTCAGTGGTTGTTGTTGATGTTTTGTTGTAAGTCTAAGTCCTGGTCAATCAAGACAAGTAATTAATGAGAATGAATTTATTTTGATGTACGAATGGTAATCGTTTACTCCGTAAGAATGTTTTTATCAACCAACTCTACCAAGTTTTAGTTTTTTGTTCTTCTCGATTCATCGGTGTAATATTTTCCGTCCCCTTAAAAAATACACGCGCTATCAATAAAAGCTCACTGCCTGCATACTGCTCTCATCAGTTAGATATAAAGAATGTCTATTTTATGCCTCAAATATTCATGCATGAGCTCCATAATACAAACGTCATTTTCTTGATAAATTTAAATTTGAATTTGATCAATCATCAGAACTTCATGTTATTCCCTATTTTCGTATGGGAATATTTATGTAAATTAGTAATGTCAATTTTCATGACATCATGATTCATAGAGATGAATAAAATCTAAATTTCATGAATAAAAAGGGAAGTGAATGTGGCTGGCACTAAGTGCCTCATATACCCAGCTAAAATTAAATTTAAAGAAGAAAACAAAACACAGCCTTTTACCTCTGTTTGCCATAGTTTATATCCTTCTTTATTAAAATCACATTATTTTTTAATGTAAATTTGTAAAAAAAATTGATGTAATATTTTCTGAATCAGGATTTGCATAATTGTTGTGTTTATTTTGTCAGAACCATCAAATTCCACCCCTCTCACTGTCCCCGGGGTTTTCTTTTATCATTAATATATCATCTTCATGATTACATTCTTTGAGGGTAATCAATTTGAGTACAATCACATAAGAGGGGGGAACGACCAATGAAAACAAAACATGGGGGGGGGGGGGGGTAATAACAATGACAAGAAATGCGTGTGAAGAACCATAGGTCTCATATTTTGATGTCTGACGAATAATGCATACGAATGATGCATCTATTTTCATTTTGTGTGCACGAAATACGAATTGCCCCGGACGAAATTATTTCTTATTTTAAAGAAAGTCCTTTAAAAAACGGCCTGAAGTTTTTAACAGGGTCACCTTTCACTTCGGTACACTGATGCTGATGCTGATTTAGTATCATACCACGACTTTGACAGTTTATCTAAAATATACTATGTTGCGTTATAGCATCATAATTTGGGGGTTAAGAGTTGATTAGAGGTGCTATAAACAAATTACATATTAGTCTTACGCCTTTTTATATTGGTATGATAGAGACACAACCAGTAATAGCTGTTATGGCCTTTTTCAGTATGTTTTGGTTTGTTTTGGTTTGGCTTATGGAATTTGATAAATAGCCAGGAATGGCCTAATTGTAAGAATTAGAAAATATTGTTAAAATGTATGAAGTAGTATATGAAAAATAAAAGTGGAGAGAGATGTCCAAACTACTTTTGGCTAAAGCTTAATGGTATGCTATATCGGCTATAGTATCGGCTATAAGGTCAGATGATAATTTCAAAATTAAATCAATGTATGTTGTGTATATAGTATTTCAATCTCTTATAATCTTGTATAAAGTGTAAAATGTTTATGCTTGTTATAATTTAGTATTAATCTTGAATTTGCAAAGGCCCATGTACATATTTTAGGGATATGGCTAAAATAAAGGTTGACTATACAATTGATTTTGGATATGATCAATTTATTTATAATTATTGTTTACGCCCCCTTTCCTTTCTCTCTCTCTCTCTCTCTCTCTCTCTCTCTCTCTCTCTCTCTCTCTCTCATTCTCTCCATCCCCTATTCCCCCCTCTCTCCCCTCCCCCCTCTCTCTCTTTCTCTTCCTCTCTCCCCCAACATCGAGCCCAAGTATAGTCAAGCTAAACAAAACGTCATTAAAGAGCGCCATCTCCAGACAGGAATCAGCTTAATCAAGGTTTTCATTCAATCACAAACGTTGTCCTCTTTACGGGGATCGAGTAATGTCACTCGCAGGTTATCTTGTGTTTATGACTTCCGAGTGTGATTTGGTACATAACATGATTAATATTGAAATACCTGCAATAATTTCTTCGATAAATGAATCATACAAATAATAACCACACACATGTACAAACCCCAACCACTCACAAACCGACGTGAACACATACAAAAATATATATGATACGCAAGCTCGAGGAATTTGTTCTAGCTTTGTTTTGTTTTGGATAATGTCGTTGTACGATATTGATCATGAAAAAAGGGTATTCTTCAACAAAATGAAGGCAATTTTTTAATTTTTTATTTACTTGCTTTCGTCAATACTAAGTCTTTATTTATTCATTTTTGTTTACCGTTGAATTATTTTATGACAAATGTGATGGGTCCCCTCAAGTCATAATTAGCATGATTACAGTTTACTCGGGGTGCTGGCATTATAATTATGTAGAGTGATGTATAACATTGGAAATAAGGTTCAAACATGCAAACACGAAATCAGTCTGTTTGTTTGAATTACTTAATATATTTAATGAACGAACACTGATTCTAAGGAAAGTTAATTGACCTGTTTGTACTTGCTATCTATTAGCTTAGAGATCAGGCATTCAACATGTTGGACTGAGCTCTTTAGGAGATTTGAGCTATTTCTATCAAAAATCCGTGTTTATTCTCCCACATGCATTTGGATAAATCTACCAAAAAAATTAATTATATTTTACACGCAAAATAAAACAAAGAATTTTGTTTTAACTCTCTATTTAAAATATTTCAATATTTGATCAAATGAATTTTTTCAATCATTGAATAAACAAAATATGATAGAATTTTAAAGGACCATAATAAATTATGTGATCAGTCTTTTAGACGCTAAAGGTTTTTATTTCCGTACCAGCCAGTAAGTATCATACAATCAAAATAGATGAAGATATTAAGCGATAAAGGATTTTTCTATATTGCCATGTTTTCCATCCCAGATGAATTGAATCTAACATTGATAATGAAGGCTTGACATTATTCAGGTAGGAATTAAATCAAACTTCAAATTTCTCATTTTGTGAAAAATCAACTTTATAGTTGTTTTGTATTCATTACAATATTACCCCCTTAGATTCTTAGTGAATGCGTCCATTGTACTTTAAACCAAAAGTTTTAACAGTAATATTTGACGGACAGTTTTCTATTCGACGCCACTATATTTTATTTGCGGCTATCATCGTCTTTTCTTGCAGGCTATTAGCGGTGACTTCCTGGCGCCTATAATTATCAACCCATAATCGTCCCCTAAACATAAACCTCTTTTTATAGAGAAGTTGATCTTTTTGTTAATGTAACCTTTCATGTATCTTTGTGATAGGTTGATTACAGCCAGACTTGTGAGAGCAGGACAGGGGGCGCCATGTTCCTCGCGTTACGATATGTAAAACTGTTGATAAGTGTAGCTTTGCGAAGGATTTTCACACCTTTGCGTTATTGATAGGGTAGTGATACCACTAACCAACACCACTTCCTATTCTTGAGGGGGGTATAGTAGGTGTCTAGGAACGTGAATGGCGGTTGGGATGGGTCCTTGAGATAGTATACTCGTCTTAATAACATGAATGATCTTTCATGGTCTATCTAAATGTTAACATGATGGGGAGCAGGGGGAGAAATGCTCCTTCCCTTAGAGAAACTTAACACAAATAGACGACAGTGTCTCTAAGATGTTTTGTTCATCGAGATATTGGTGTAATATAAAAAGATTAATCATATTTAATATGATAGCCTTAGAAAATAAGCCTATGCATTCTAATGCTATCGATCATGAACTTACAAACTATATGGCTTAAATTCCCATTTCCCTTATCGTAACATAATCGGCTGGTCACCAATTGGGGTGATTCATCATATACCACCCCCTATCTATTTGTCTATCCTTTCCTCTCATCTGACCCTTCAACTAAATAATCCTGATATCCATACAGGTGGTTTGTAATGACGTTAAAACCTGATTCATCCGTTTCAAATCAACAGATGCAGGAATTAAAACACCAATGTAACCACAAATTAAGCCGATGATTGTAATGAGCAATTTTGATTAATCAAACTGCCATTGAAAAGAGACGTTATTTTTGCTTGACACAGATACAAAGCAAAACTCACTTTAAACGCAGGAAGGGTAGAAAATTTTTTTTGGGTGTGACAAATAGGACTGAAGTCATAAAAATGTTATTTACTTTGTATCGCTTTCATTGGTTTACTTTAATGATAGGTCGTACTTAGCCAGTCTGTTTCACGCCTCCGAGTCCCATATCTGATAATAGTCATTAATTCGACAATCGCCCATCGCTTGTCATTCCCCCCTTTCTTGGGTACTCCCCATGTTGATTTCCAACCCCTCCTCTAATGACTCCTTAATTATCAGTTGACAAGGAGGCTGGACAGTGGTAACAATGACCGATTTTCTTTTGCGTTTTGTGGTTGTTCTCGATGTAAACTCCCTTCATCGGAGACCTCCCACACTAAATAGTGTTTGGAAAGAGCAAGAGAGTAGTGACAGGTTAAGTGGTCTCAAGATTGACACCACATACTGCCTTTCTCCCATCCCATGATACTGTGACAATAGGATCAAGAAAGAAAGTCGTAAGGACCTTTTAATAGCATCTCCCAAAATTATTCCCCACTAAATTGTCCTGGCTTATTTCCTGGACAATTAACTCTCCTCCTTTTCCCTTCCCCCTTTGATTTTTCTTTGAGAAAAATACAGAAAAGTTTTCCTCTCGCTTTTCAGAAGACGTCTCCCAACCGATAATCGATGGGCTATTGTTGTTGTTGTAGGTAAAGTGTATTATATTACGTAGTCTGGTTAATAAGTGAATGAAAGGACGAAGATCTACTCCTGAATGAGCTCCAGAGGGAGTATGGGTCGGTTGGTGATTAGTACCACAGCGGGATTCTATTCAAATCTCATCCATTTGAAAAGGTGTGTATTATCGCTGAATTGACCAGCCACGCAAGACTCTTTCTCCTGTACCCGTCCATCATGACAGCTTTAATTAGTCTTCCCTCTAAATTGGGGGATAACATTTGTTCATTTGGCAGCCAGCTTGGGGATGAAGTGTGTTACGAAGTGAAAAGAGTTTGTGAAAAAGAGACAGTGATAGATTAGCTGTGAGTGACATACGTGGCAAGCCAAGTACAACTAAACTGTACAGAGAAGCAGAGGAACAGAATGCCGATGCCAACATTCATCCACCCATATCTTACTCAGGATGTTAGAAATAATGATAAATACTAAAGCCAAATCAAATAATCCCTATCTATGATTTGATAAGACATGCTTCATGGAATATAAATAATTAAATTCCATAAAAAAAGAAATTATGGAATCATAAAAACACAAATACTTATCTAAGTTGTTCAAAAAGTTTCCTTTCTTCAAATTGATTAATGATCCTATACCGATAAAATGCTGGTATGATTTATTTTTTATTTCAAGTTATTTGTTCGAAAATCTACTTCGGGTAACATTTTACCTTTGACCTTTGACCTAGTCAACCTAAGATCCTTTCGGTTTATTCTCTCAAAATGTGATGATAAAGCTCAAAATACATGAATGATAAAGTTGACTATAGAAGTCATGTGATTATAATCAGTTACATTGTGAATGAAACTGTCTGGAAGCCATCGGGAAAAGGATTGTTATTTATTACATAAGAGTTTATATTTTTCTGTGAGGTTTTAGATGATTAGAAATCGACTCAGCCTTGCTGAAAATCAGATGCACTGCACAAAGAAACAGACATATGGGACTACACATGCGTGTGGAATGAACTTTTCAGCTATGTCTCGTTATTATGAGGAAATTTGAAAAGCAACCTTTTTTCAGGGACATTTATACTAATTTATATTTTTCCTGACTGATTTACAACAAAAAGAGAAAACCCATAGTTCATCTTCACCAAAACTCAAAGTACTGTTTAATGTGACGTAAATGTGGCACGTCATTATGAATATTAAAAAATAAAAAGAAAGCTAGATAGCAAATGTTATTTCACTGAATGCTAAAATGAGAGATCGCATGAGCGAGTGTTAGAGAGAGAGAGAGAGAGAGAGGGGGGCGGAAAAGAAGTAATATTATGGAGGATATTCATATTCATGACATGCAATAAGTCAGTTCACCTTTGGTGTACAACCGTTACACATTTAGTTGATAAATGATTTACTTATCATCAGTGTTTTGAGTTCTAGCACGTCGCAAGAGATAAATAGTTATTATATGCAATCGACCGTGAACTTAGTATTCTCACGTAGGCTATTTGATTAAAGAAAAACAATATCATTGTGCCCTTTTCCTCTCTTCTCTCTGCCTCCGTCTCTCTCTGTCTGTCTGTATGTCTCTCCCTCTCTGTCTTTATGTTACAAATATAATTGTCTCTCCCTCTGTCACCCTGTCTCCCTCTCTCTCTCTCTCTCTCTCTCTCTCTCTCCCTCTCTCTCTCTCTCTCCCTCTCTCTCTCTCTCTCTCCAAGATGAAATAGTCATGATTTCTATAAAACATGACAAATACATTGTGGTGTTTTATTTAGGCATTTTAACAGGCCAAGTGTGAAAGTACACTTCGTTCATAATAATAGAGAGAATAGGGGATATAAGTGGACAGAAAGAGAGACAGAGAGAGGAGTGGAAATAGACGACGCCCCCTTTCCTTTCTCCAGAGACAGAGAAAATACATTATCTAAAATACATAACAATAATGCACCACTTGACGTTTTGCATAATGTCATGAATATCAGGAATCGCAAAGCCGATACGAATTGTCTTGAGAAGGATACTCCAATGTGTTTCTCCTGTAAGTAAGGTAAGTGGTAAATCTTCATTTTATACCGATTCCTTCATCCATCCATCCACCATTCTATTCAGGCCATCCATTAGTATATTTGCATTCATTGATAATTTTGTGAATTATCTATTATTTCTTAATAAATTCATTCATTACTTCATTCAATGATACAAACTAATCCTATAATTTCACCGATTCATCTATGCTCTCACGCCCTCTATGTTCTATCACTTCGCTCTTTGTTATGTACATGTTCTTTATAACATGTGCTCACATTACAACATATATCCTCTCCAATTCATAATCAATCGTTATCCTACCCAGCAATTATGCTTCGATTTCATTGATTCAAATACTGCCTATTTACATTAGTTTTGACACAAAGAAGTTAAATCGAATAGCAGCTAAGCGACAGATAAACTTCTCCGACCACCGAATGCTTTTACATTGCGCTTCATTAATTAATGAATATTGAAAAACAGTTCGTATCTGTGAGCAACTATACGTCACAATACGAAACACAACGTTTCATCGTAGAGACATGCATTTTTAGTTTGTTTATCGTTCTTTTGATATTTTATTGTTTATTTTTGTCATAAAAGCACACCACGTAATTGAGAATCGCTTGATTATTTTAAATGTGTGAATTTAATCAAAAACTCGAAATACGACACAAAACAAAAGTTATTATTTCTCTTTCTGATAAATCATATATTTAATATTCACTGTCATGTTGTACACAATACAGATGCAGTAAACCACATTAAAATGAATAAACACAGACTACAAGGATAACATGTACGTTTTGGAAATAAACGATCGGCATTTCTCCATTGCATAGCGAATAACTCCCTTATAAACATAATTTTTTGCTTCTTTTATTGAATTCATGTTCAGTCGCAATTCAGCTTGATATGTTGGGGAGAAATCTAAAAGATATGTTTTCTATCACATTAAACGGAGGATCTAAGCTGGAGGAAATGAAAGTTGAAGATGCGAGAATTCAAATAATTTTTGTTTAATTACCGAAAAGAGATTGGGGAAAGGAACTAAACATGACGAGGAGGGTCGAGAATGATTCAAGTAATGAAAGTTAAGAGAGGTAGGGAGAGAGGGAGGGAGGGAGAGAGAAAAAGAGAGAGAGGGGTCGGGGGACAAAGCTAAACAAAGAAATTAAAATGATCGGGTCATATATTTGTAAATGACATAATAAATTTCATCTTTTTGCTAAGGGAGATTTTAAAAAATCAAACTCTCTCCAATGGCAATTACGGGCTAAGCATTTTGTGTATCAAAGTGTGGCGACATACATGTACATGTATTACATGAATTCACATATGAGTTCTTGTTTTGGGGTATGCACGATACGCTTTCATATCATAATGACAAATATATCATCGTCTTCGGAACTCATCGAGTTGTCTTCAGAGATTACAGAAATTAAGATTCATTTTTTAAATTCCGAAATAAAAGTAAAGAGGAGAAGTTGTTCACATTTTGGGGGCACCCGGCACATGATAATACTAACACTTCAACCTGTTAACAAAACAAAAACACAAGGACTGCCTATATTTTCTACCATATTTCAAAAAGAACTCTCATAAAGTATAAACGTAACATGGAGTACATGATAAAGCTGTAACATAGAATATATCATTTATTATACATTACATATTTACATTGGCATATTTACATATATGAGTGCGAATGATCGGAGAAAATGATTTAAGCTAGAACACAATTTTTATGTTGCGTTTCATTATTGGATAATACATGCTACTTGATGAAGCACACACATAACCTGATTATTATGAGTCTAATGCTAATGGAAATGTTGTTGAAAATGAATCGGAGTGCAAAGTTATCATTGTGGTTTTGGCCTTTTTTCGTGGCAGGCCGTGGCAATCTTAAACATGTTGAGATATCATTCACAAATTTATCAACTTACTTCTTATGATAAAACTCAGTCCTGATTTACGTGGGTCTTCTTAGATATTTGTTGTTGTCATCTTGTACAGACTACAGAGCTGGGTTTTAAGCGATTGTTTGCTTGTTTTATTCAACATTGATCATGAAATGTTCGGTAAAAATATAAATAAACATCCAACATCAGTTTAGAAAGCACACGAATTTTCACTGTCATCAACATAATGTTTAGGGTAATTTGGGGATGGAGCGGGTAATAGATTTTTAAGGGAATACTGTCGCGTTTATTTAAAATAACTAGCTATGATATAATTCATCTAATCAGCATCTTGCTTTTGCTCTTTAACATTTCTTCCAATGTGTAAATAATTATGTGCTGTGACATAAATGAATATCTTTTACGTTTAAATCAGAAACAGAAGGTGATATAACGGGGCAAGAATCATATATAAATAGGATAACGTAAACATAAACTGATATACTACTTCAAGTACGGAGACACGGGCGTGAACGCTGATCCCGCCCTTGGATCGGTAGATGAAAGTGAGAGATGATGATGCGGTGGCTGACACAGCGGAATCGAGGTATTCTCTGTCATCATCCCGCTATGATGCGACGCCGATGACGACGGCGACAGCGAAACATGGGAGAAATGGGAAGGAGAAGCAGCATCGATGGATGATCGCGGTGATGAGAGATGAGGTATCATCGCCGTGGTCATTGACGTCGAAGATGGTGAGGCGAATGGCGACATCGCGATCATAGATGAGGCGGAGGAAGATGATGACGGCGACGATGACGATAGAGGACTGATGGGTGTGTGCGGTGATTGAGAGAGCGAAGCTGGAGATGGAGGTAGGAGATTCGGTGTCGATGATGACGGGGTTTTTGTGTCGATGCCTTCCTTGTCACGTCGCTCACGTGCTCGCCTATTTTGGAACCAAATTTTGACCTGGATAAAGAAAAAGAAGAGAACAGAACCCATTAACCTTTCATTTCAAAATATAAACATTTACATTTTAATGAGTATTAAAATTTAACTAATTGGCGTCTCTATACATACTGTACAACGAAGGTTGCAGTTAATTGCATGGATTTATTACAATCACTTGAATAAGCAAAATATTATCTGCTGTGTTAACTGTTCTCGAAACCAAAACAAAATGTCACTGTAAATAGTGATGTTGTCGTATTAATATGTTAAACGAATTGACTGTTAAAGCTAAACTTTAGTACTGGTAATGCGATTGCATTGTGAAAGAAAAGGTGTGAAAGGATCAGAAACAGTTGATCATGTAGCATGTAAGTATTGGTGTGCACTGCAAGGTTCTGGAGTCATCAAAATCATAATAAATTTGACCGAGTCTTGGTAAAGTAACAAACACTCACATAGAAAGCTATATATGGGACAACACACATGGTGTCGGGGATGGTACTACCTTGGTTTCCTTGTCTTTCTATGCTCATTACTCAGCCAGTAAACATTTTCTTCCAAAATTGTTTGGCACATGTCATTTATTTGTAATCTTGAACATTCAGTGTAAGTTTCGTTTGATTCTGTGAGAATTATTATTTTTTTTTTACCAGTACTGGAGTTTATCTTTAATGTTCTCCCAATCCGTGAAAGATTTTTAAAAAATGTTGAAAAAACAGAAGGGGAAAAAAGAGCAACAAAGAATTTTCTGTCCATCTGCCGATCAATAGCAAAGACACAGTGACAAATCCATTTTCTCGAAGACACTTATCTCCATTCTTAGTTGATCTGTCGATAAAAGCACTTAACCAATACATACTGATCAACTCAACGAATTAAATTCGAACAAAACAGCGCGTTGCGTAACTCAATATTCCGTTTTTGAGAATTGAACATTGCGATAGTTTTAGGTGAGGGCGTTTTGGGGTCTCGGTGTTTTATTTTCCATGAATGGTTTTCATTAAACTCATTGTGTAAGGGTTTCGTTTCAGTAGAGTGGATATTATGGTGAATACGTAAAATAAAACAATTTCCCAACGATTATCGGAAATCAATGTAGAGGGCAAGAAAATGTCATCCACCTCGCATTTGCTTGTCAATGAGAAAGTAGAATATGTGGTCACAAGAATTAATGCGTTAAAAATCGAAAGATCATTATCAGATGTTGTAGTATCACTAGATCAACTCATCACTCTCATCAAGCTGTCGACAGATGGCGGAATTTACAATATACACGACTTCAAAAGTTTTCTTTGTGTGATTAAGTTTAGAGTTGTGAGAAATTTATTTTACTGTTAAGAAAGGGAAAAAAGTTGAAAAACTCGAAAAAAAACTGTAGTGTCTGGTAAAACTCTGGTGTTTTTCTTTTTGTTCTCTTCAAAACGACTGATATCATATTAAATGGAAAATTGTAAGTCTGCACGCTTTTCGTTTTCCATGAAATCAGTTTCATTTTGAGATTAAAAAATGCTCTGAATATATATATATACTAATATAACGAATAAATTCGTTTCATGAGATCTGCTGTCAAGTTTTCGTTGTCTCGATGTTTATTTGTCAATTAATTGTAAAATGTTTCATAATTACATAATTTTTTGTCCCATTCTCTTCTTTTTACTAGTTTATTATAAACGCGTTCGGAAATTATATACGACATATTATTGTAATTATCATTTTCAATATTAATGTTACTATTATCATCATTACAATTGTAATTATTATTATCATCATCGTCGCCATTGGTATCATTATTATTATTATAATTATAATTATTATTTTATTATTATTATTATTAATATGATCATTATTGTTGTTGTTAATGCTTTGTGGCTGTCATCATTACCATCGTCTAATGCCGAATAAAAACATTTTTTTTCGAAATACTTTAATTAAAATATCATGAAAAGAATGGCATAAAGCTTTGTCACCAAATGGAAGATTAACAAAGTTCAGAGTTGAACCTCGTCTTTCTGATTAATGAATCGTGACTGTGATAGGAAATAGAACTGGACTTCGCCAAATAGTAAAATATCTCGACCAGTAATTGGGACGATAACAATGATTCTTGATCAGGGCTAGTATGTTAATCAGTCGACATACCTGGGTTAATAAAAGCGACAGTAGGAGAAAGGTTGATAATAATTATTGCGGTGTTTTAATTAGACGAATGTGCGCGTCCGCTCAAAGCTGCGCGAAGGTGTTATCGTTATTGGATAATTAAGCGACGCGAGTTAATGAGCACCGGGCATGCAGCAGATAACATTTTGGGTTTTGACGTCCGAACTAATCTCGTGTTGATTCAAATGGTTTGAGTAAGGACAGAAAAATACATCCAAATGGCCAAACAGTCAGAGAAAGAGAGATAGAAGAAGAGAGAGAGGAGAGAGAAAGGGAGAGGGAGGGAGAAGGAAAGATAACAATTACTAGATGAGAAAGAAATTGAATTAACTTCTCAAATGAAGATTGACAGCGTTAGGACAAATGTGCAATACCGATGGGGCCGGCGGAGTCTGACATGGGAACTATTGATTTCGATTTATTTTCGGCAGGTAAATAGCGTCGCAGTGGCTCATAATGAAACGTGTAATTTTCATATCTATTCCAAAATCAATAGCAGAACAGCCTTATTGCACCACGTGAAATGCGGTACATTAGTGCACCTGTCTTGTTTATTCGTTTATCTATGAAGTAAAACAACAAATTGCCAAAATAAAAAATGACATAATTGGTATTTTTAGGTTTATTTGTGTTTTTAAAAAGCAATTCCCCGTTCACAAAACCAAACAACGACAACGACAATGATAACGATAACAAGAAAACAGCTATCAAATCAAGAATAATCCCCCGATGAAATAATGTATACTTTTAAAATCGATATCATATCCATATCATAAATACCACGTAACTATTATTATTCCAAGTAAAACAACAGCAACAAAAGTGTTGGCAGGATTTTATCATATTTTGCGTACACCGATAGAGTTCATACGTAATCCTGCAGACTTGTTCACTTTCAAAACTTTCATAGAAAATTAAATAAGAAAATGTCTTTCAATACTACACCGAAAGAAAGCGTTACAACATTATATTTTTTCTGCTGAATCTAATGGGCATTACGGAATAGTGACGCTTTTATGGTTGTCCGGTATCAGTTTGATGAAGACCATGCAACTCTCCTAATCTATTTCCGGACTCATTCTGTCTCGCAGAAAATCGGGGTTAATACCTAGACAAGGGTTTGAGATGAATTTTTGAGCTTCTTTACTTCCTCTCTGACATGACAGTTTCAAGAAATGGGTTTATTGGCTGTCAAAAAGAGTGAAGAAAAACGGAAATAGAAACAATATCGAATGTTTTTTAGCTTCTAATAATGCCTTGGCCTACATTCAGCATCAGGCCGAGAGCATAAAGCCCAGACCGATATGTTATCACTTATTTATTCATAAGATTTCTTCATCGCGTTTTTATTTTTTCACGACTGTTTTCTTTTATAGCCAAATAAGTTATTTGCAGATGTCTTCAATCGTTCATGTCAAGAACAGATATGAATAAGCAATGACATACATTGGGGGTAACTCATGGACGAGCAGTTTATCATATTTGATTTGTATTTAATTATTATGCAAAAATGTGTATACATTGTATTGATCAATGAAAAAAGATAAGTTTTTTTGATACATTGTAGATATTACCGAAGTGTCGATTTATAAGTAATTATCAATTTCTACACTTTTTGAAACTTTTTAAAGCTGTATATTTTGGTAACTAAAAATTGGCAGAAGGAATCACATGAAGAAAGTCACGTATAGGGAAAAAATGAATAAACAATTTAAAACTTTAGCCTTCTTTGCAAAACTTCGGTGATTGAACCTCTTTTCTCATGTAGATCATTTTAGATAATGAAACTTTTGCTGTGCGTTCGCCCAACTATATTCATGGGGAAAAGAACTTTCCAAGAATTTGACAAGTTTTGAATGGCTGTTTTTAGGGGCGATTTCATTGGATGTTTCGTCGAATCAAGAACGAAATGAGTGAGTCACGGTTAGTATTGTTACATCTAACTATGAATGGTATCCAGTGTTTGATGGAATGAATATCTACAGGGATCTAGTTGTGACCAAAAGCCACAAACTCATGTATGTTCCGGTCTCTTTAATAGAGAATGAAATAAAGTCTTAATTGTAGTCTTTCTCCTGCCGAGTTTTCGGAAACAGCATGTTTTTCTTCGAAGAGATGTATACATGATTGATATTTTTCTTCTTGGTTCTCTGATATGAAAAGGCCTTCCAAGCATAATTATATAGCATTTTCATACTTGACATTTTCTTGGAATAATCAACTAATACAGATCTTTTGTTATACACAGAAGATTTTAAATAAAATCCACTTTTAGCATAGATTAATTCACTTTGCAAATGTAACTTCATGATCATTTTTTAAGACAAAATTTCCGAATTCAACTTTATATGATTAATATCAAATTGAAGGTTGCAATCACAACTGCAACGCTGATATACTATTTTTTCCTGCTCACTTCTACCACGTTGCAACCGAAAAACCCATTAAATTTCGTTCATTTCGATAAATATGATAGAAATGACATTTAGAAAGTGAAACAAAAAAGTGTAAATCTAATGGACTTACCCGATTCTCTGAGAGGTTGAGTGCTGCCGACAGTTCGGCTACATCAATACTACTGAGATAGTGCGTGCAGCGAAACTTCTGTTCCAGCGTAGCTACCTGTGTCGGCGAGAAAGGTACCCGGGGGTTACGGCCTAGCTTCCGCTTCTTCGCACCGTCCTTTCTCTTCGTACCTGCGAGAGTAGGACAAATATTGAGGGAAACTTATTAGTGAAAATGTTTCTTCAAAAAGTATGATAAATAGTTAGTCATAATTTATCAAATGTCATCATGGAAGGTATGATACTACTGGTAGATAATTTGAAAAATCAGTAGGCTTATAATTCTTATTTAGGGCTGATTATTAACGTTACAAAAATCCGAACGCTGATTTTTATTTCATAAAAACATTCTCATGATACTTATGTTTGTATTTTGTTGGGAGTGTACATTACTTCAACAATTATCATTATCATTTAGTATAATGTATATTAAATAATAAAAATTCCTGTATCTATTCTCTGAGAGTATAGCTTTTGGTTAAGCTGTTAAAATGACTGGAAATTAGGCAAATAACTATTTAAAAAAAAAATTAAATCGTCTTTTTACGTGATGAAGTTGTCATCATATCTTCTTTTTGGTCAGATATAAATAATGTACTTTTTTCCCAATAGAAAGGATTGGCAGTTAACTTAGTTAATTGCATATGATTAAATGCATTTTTTTTGGAAATGGATATAGAATCATACATGTAACGAAGAATTGTTTTGAACATGTTTGATTTAATACCTCTAGAGGAAAAACAAGTCGGTAAAACGAATATTACCCATATACATTCAATTCATAACTTCAATCATATTGTCACATATTTTACAACTATCAATAAAAAATATTTTAGCTCTTTAATGTTAGTTCCAAAACACATATACAGTATACCAAACAACATTTGTTGTCATAAATCATGTGGCATTTTCTTGACTAGGTAATTAAAAAAAGAGCCAATACGGGCAGCGAGGCTCTAACCATTAGTAGGTCCATGTTCTAACCCTTCATATCCCTGTCAGTTTCAATAAAGATGTCAATCCAAATTAAAATTTGACCGAAGCTGTGATAATGATCGCAACTTTAGAGACAATTCGGTTGATTGTTGTTAGTGTAACAAGTGATAACAGAAAACAAGCCACACACGTAATACACACACACACTGTCCCAATTAATGAATGCACGCGTGCACACGCGACAAACAGGGATTGTTATACGAGTGGTCAATCTGGCGCCCCGCCTTGTCTACCGGCGCGGGCATCTTATGAGGGAAGGCGACATCACGTAAATAAACCACTCTCAGCGGGGAGGAGAGACATTCGGTTGCCAAGGGACGCTATCTCAGTTGCTAAATGGAAAACAAAATCATGCAACCTCATTTTCTTGCTAATTGTTGGTGGATTACATTCGAATTTAGCCTTCATCCTATATATATACATTACAAGTACGACAACATAGTGGATAACGAATATTTAATTAATATTTTTACTGTTACAATCATGTCTATAAATTAATTGGTACACCTTGTTACTGTTAGTGACACATTTAAGATCATTGTTTTATTTCTTAGGGATAGTGATTAATCATGTCCCAAACTAAATGATTGGACAATCGACCTAATTAGCAAAATACCATTAATATCAAAATACAATCATCCCTTCTGTTATCATGTTATCCAACATTTTCTTTTAAAATCTTATTGAACTTATAAACAAATATTTGTTTTCAGTGGATCGAAATCCTGTTAACAAGAATGTAGATAGCCGCATTATTTTTTGTGGAAATTATCATATTCGACTACAAAAATACGGCAGTTTAATAACTGTCATAAGCAACATTATACAGCACTTGTGCTTGTGAATTCGTTCAAATTGATTATTTTGTGTAATGCATGTTTCTAAATGTATTTCTAAATTTGAAGGTAACTTAAACGGTGACAAATATTATAGCATAACTAACAAGTTGAGTTATTAAGTTTTAAGATTACTGGAATTGTACAGTAATTAATTATCAATAATTATTTAGGTCTTAGTTTATACCATCTGGCTAACAAATTATTCTTGATCGCGTCTTGTTTGACTGCTCTATGTTAACTCACTTCGTGCCTCGTGGGCTGGCTTATGACACTCATTTCTTTCTCATTTTTTGTTTGGCTAAACCTCTAAATCATGTATTTTGATCAGTTTATGTTTCTGTAACTTGAATTTCTACTTTGAATTCAAATCAAATATTAATCTTACGCACGTTAACTGAAATAAAAACACCGTTCGGTAATTATTCTAACGTTTCAAAGTGGTTAAAACCAACTACTGAATCCATTTTTACATACACATTATTTAGGCTGTGTTCTCATGGTTCTGCAAAATCTTCAAATCAATGTCAACATGGCATGGGCCTATACTTCGTGAAAGCAAACAAACGCACAAAACAAAGAATAAAAACGAAAGAGGTAGAACAAGGGAGACAAATATTTATAACATAAAAAACATACTAGAGCTAAACAACGTCGATACATCAACAAACATGCAGATTTTACTGCTGAACTGTATACTTTGTCCGTTCGGTAATATTGGTTTTCCACATCAGTTCCTTACAAAAGACATTTGACATAGGCCATCTAGCAGCAAGCTTGACGATCCAATGTATGGATGTTAAGAATAGCCTCTTCATTCTTAACAAAAGCGAGTTGGTTTAAATCAAGGACATTTTTGTCATGCAAATCAATTAAATGAGCAGAGTTACAATGATATCGCAATAGTACAATTTGCAGTTTGTAAGCAGAGGCTGTATATTATGTAGTAATGTACGCGGTGGGAATAAACCGTATACAATGATATACCAATGGAAGAAATGCAACGTTGGATTTGGATCATTCATCTGTTGTTTCTTTTTTTTCTTCTAAATGGTCGTTGATCTTTATTGTTGTAAGAAAGAAACGTTGATGTGAAATCCAAAGAAATGTTGTTACATCGTTTGAAATAATGACAGATGTAACAAAACGTGTAACTAATACAATGAATGATTTGGATAAGTCGTCCGTCTGTATTTTTAAAAGTTTTTGTTACTTCATTTGTTATATTTGCCTTCATTTTGTTCGATTTCTGACTAATCGTTTGTTGTTATGACGAAAAATCCATACAAAATTTCCAAGTTATATCTCGCATTGTTACATCGTTCGAAATCATAATATTAGGATATTGTCAACGCAAAAAGAAATAAACTTGTTATTTGATCTTATGTATTATGGCATAATTTAAACTTATTAACAAATGACAATTGATTTATTCGTTATATTCAAATAAGCAAATTACTTTGTATTATTGATTCAATCTACCTGCACTAGCGAATCCTATCTGATACTAAAAACAAATAATATCAACTTCCTTTAAGTTTAAGAGCAATAATGTGAATCAATGATATACATTTGAAATTGATTCACATTTGAAATAGCCTATATGTTTATTTTGTGTGTGTGTGTTGTTGTTGAATATATATGTTTACAAATAATATATCTCATTTGCAATTTTCAAATATCGAATCTAAACTGGAACATATTTTGCCTCAAAATACTTAGTTAGTAGAAAACTGGCATTGCTAGTTTTATGTCCATCATTTTTGCCGTTTCTTATATCAAGAAGTTACTAGCCAGTAACTTCTTGCTTATATCAAACCGAATAAATGGTCCGAAGCAGCCAATGCTAAACCAATTCAAATTACATTTTCAGCAATAGCCTTTAAAAGGTTTGAAATATGCCTGAAGTGTCAAATTGTAAAATTTCGTCCAGTGTAGAAGCAATTTCTTCCTTTGTATGTTTTGAAATGTAAGTTTAGAAGTGACAATATTTGTTGTTCAGAAAACTGATTTACCCTGAATATTTCTGTGAAATGAAATGAATAACCCATGCATGATAACTTTCAGTAGGATGGGATGGTTCTAAGACATGAAGCAAATTTGACATTTGAAACTCCTGTTTCTACATCTGAATCATGCGAATATTGAAATGATCAAATAAAATAAGTAACTTACATATGCACATGCATCTATTGCGTAATTACAATTTAATTATTAGAACACGGTCATAATAACTAATATTAGTAATTAGGGTCTTTTTATAAAGTCATTGGAAAGTCCTCGAGTATTAAAAGTTTATTATTATCTAATTTCTAGATCTAAACCTACCACGTGTACAATTATTACAAGTCTTATTTCGAATATACCAATCCAGATCTTTGATTACCCTATTTGAGTCGGAGAAATATCTGTATTTGGGCTTGGGGGGGGGGGGGAATAATTTATCGTAATGACGTTAAATGAGTGTTGAATAGCAGGTGCAAGTAGATTTGATATAATATTTGCTATTATCATAATCATAGTCTCATCTATTATATTACATTACTTTACTTACATTTTGAGAAAAAATGAAGAATGACAACAAAATTCTAATCTAATATGTGCATTTAATTATGATTTTTTTTAAATTCAAACTAATGACCTAAGAAGCATATTTGAAATACAATTTTTGATATTGATTTTGAGTTATTTAAAAAAATCATAAAATTAGTACAATTTGGAGGAGTGATTGTAAATCAATACGGTATAATATAAAGCGTTCATTTACACACTCATATCATTATGAAATAATGCAAATTGACTGATTTTCAGAATTTTACCCTGATATTCTCTCGAGTTCCATATACCTGAACCTACGCTCATTCCTTTATTTACAACATTTAATATTGTCTTCTTACCAACACAAGTATTCGTCATTCAAGGAGGATTTCATATTTAATAAAAAAAAAGTATCATTCATTTATTTTGTTTTCAAAAGTAAATACACGAGTAATGTTATACTTCTGGAATAAAAAAAAAATATTTCATCTTAAATATAGACAAAATATTTGCTCTCCGACAAGCCTAAGTTAAACTAAGTAATTACAGTATCATGTGGTTAGTTTATAAGTTTAGAACACAGATAATGGATTTTTATTTCTTTAATTTCAATTTAATTAATACATTTTAGTTGAATACATTTTATTATGAAAAGTTTGGCGTTTTACCATTTTTTTCTAGTAAACAAAGTCAGAATATGCCTTGTATGTTCTGGTTCACATCCTGAAAAGAAACCAGGATTTGTCTATCTACAATGTAATGATAAGGCAGTGTTTGTTTCACAACAATAAGTGATAAGCTTTCTAAACACATACTACGAGGGTCATTACATCTATACTTGAAGTGTAGGAATTGTACTTCAAATACTTCAAGGTACATTAGATGTAATTTTTTGTTTTATTACTTAATAATTGGTCGTTCTTTTAAAAAAAATGTAGATGTTGTCTGCTACTATATTATGACAGATTAATAAACATTCTAACCAATTTGTTTTCATGACTGCATCATCAGATCAAAATATTAGACAGTAACCAGAATATATAACAAAATGTTACACATGTTAGTAGATAGATGTCTTTAACTTTTTCTGATATTTTTAAAGTTTGTTAAAAAGGACACTAATATGCATGTACATAATAATACTCACTATTCCAATTTATTTAAAAATACTAGTTATTGTGTGAAGTAAAGATTGACATAATACTCACGTGGAAGTCTAGGTGGTTTATATCTTGTACATTGAAGCCATGAGAACCTTGCAAGTGGGTTCTCTGCAGTATCAGTATCAGTCTTTGATTCGTGGCCATCACCCTCATCATCGACCGTCATTTTATGCGGCGACGTCGCCTCCTGGTTGTCATCGACGCATTCTCTTGGGGGTGGGTAATGTTTATCCTGATACGAGACGCCATGTTTGCTGTGTAAAGTTAGCTTATGTTTAGCTCTGATGCTTTCTAGTCGGTTAGAAGTTTGTGAATCCCCATCCCTTTTGCCCAGGATACCGTCTATGCTAAAGTCGGTGACACCGGTTCGTTTGTCGCCCAAGCTGCCCGGAGAGGCGGCGCCACTGGTAAGCATCGGTCTCAAGCCCTGCGCCACACGTAGATTCTCCATGCTAAACGAAGCAGCGGCAGCGATCGTGGCCGCTGATCCTCCGGGGAAAGCCGTAAGCTGGCCCATTGTAGTCGAGGATAGAGGTCCAAAGGGTGGCTGCATTCTTAGCCCGACTAAAGAAAAGCCCGAATAGTTAGATAGTGGCGCCGGGAAGACCCCGGCGGCGTAGAACCCCTGCTGGAGCGAATAAGCAGAATTTAAGAGAGCCATGGTGGACAATGAATGGAATCGCTAATTCCTGACTTTTACTTTTTGCTAGTTAGGAGAGACAAAATAGAGAGATGAGACCATATATTCTCAGAGTTGAGTAGACGATGAACAGCAAATCAAAAGTGACCAAGAAAGACCACTGTGCCCAATATAAACCCCGACTCCTTGACTTCTTGATATACCCTTAGGAAAAACAGTGAAACTAGGTAAACACTTCAGCGATGAAGCCGACGACTCTTGCTTATAAAAACCTTCCGCTCATCTTTGTCAAATAAAAAGCATTGTTTGTAATGGGATGTGAGATAGCAGTGTAGAGAAATCCGCGATAAGGTGTTGCCGATTCACATGTTCATTCCCACTTTGTTTAGAATCAAACTCTGAACCTTCAATTCGCAAACAAGTTTCTCTCCTATTACCACCTTCCATCCATACTCATCACACACTAAACGACACCAACCTGTACTGCACATGCGCGCAGGTCGCGCGTTAATTGGCTTGACCTTCGAGGGGTCATAGAATAATGACGTCATCGAGACAGTGGAGTCAACTTCTCTTGTTACTTGTCGTCGCGTTTCGATGGCGTGAAGTATTTATCGTTATCTCGACTTGGTGCCCTTTTAGCGCCTGATTAGGCAAAGGGTAAATTGGAAATCCAAGTTTCCTTGGATAGAATAGACTGGATTATTACTGGTATCGTGGTGGGGTTATTAGGTGGATAGGAGAGGCGCCAATGTAGAGAACACGATGAATAGAAGACTGAGGAAATTGAGAAAATTGTCGATAAAATTATGATCACGGTGCATTGTCAGGTGGAAAATAAATGCGAATTTCAATTCAGATGAGAAAGGATGCTGATAGATTGTTCGACGGAAAACAGAACAATCTATAGGAAAACAATTTCCAAACAGAAAGCAATGTAAACAAACAATCTGTGAAATAAATAACAGTTGTGCTTGTTTGTACATTTATAAGCTAGTGTGATAACAGCTTAGCATTGATTCAATGCCAGATATTTGAATTCGTATTTGTTGACAGTACCTAACGTTGTTGATCGACAATAAAACTGTCAAATTTCAGTAAATGAAAACAAATCTTCATTCTTTAAATTTCAAACTTAAATTTTCTTTTCACACACCGGTAGCTGCTATGAATCTTTTCTATTACATGTATTTGTTGACATTTATCACTTTGGCTTTTGTGTTGCGATTTATGCAGCGTATTTCGTTTATTTTTTTATATGGGGTAATGGTAAAGTTAATTATTACATAATGTTGATGTAATATACAATAATACAACGTTACGCGCTGAAATTTTGTAATTTGATGAGGTTGTGAGGAGGTGTTTTGGTTTGTTTTAGAAAGTATTTCATTCTTCATTCAATGAACCAAAACTATAAAAAAAATTGAGAAAAAATATTTAACATATTGATAACATAATAATTACAAACAATACATTAAAATAGCAAGAACAACATTTAGAATACAAGTCATAACATTGAATGAAGATGAAAACAAAAATGTTCTCCCTGACCCCCCCCCCCTGCACTCTGCCCAAGAAGCCTAGTCGCCCTCCCCGTCCTCATTCCTACCCACCCCTCCCCTCCTAGCCCCTCCTCCCTCCCAAACTACCTGATTTGCGATGGGGAAAACACATATTGCCCTTAGCCCTTTGACATTTAGAGACAGTTTTGTCATAACAATCGATTGAATATCTACTACAAATTTGGCAATGTTCATTGTTATCTTAATTTTGGCAATGTTCATTGTTATCTTAATTATGTCGCATGCCTATTGTATTAAAGAGATTTTAATTATTTCCCTCAGAATGTACCTCCTTTCCACTCTCTTTCTCTCTATATCTGTCTCTATCTCTATCTCTCTCTCTCTCTCTCTCTCAACTTTTTTTTCGAGAGCTAATTTAGCAATCAGCGTCATGCACAGACTAGCTACCAATCCTTGATATATGAGCTGTGATATGAGGAAGTATCATGATTACCGTACTGATCATGCCCAATATTTCATCATGGATTAATTTGGTGATTGAGCTACGGGAACGGACAAGTTTCTTTGGTAATAGCTCTTGCTATTTGCGTCAAAGCCATCCATTCTCTAAGAACCAAATGAAGAACTTTGGCGCGCATCGTCCAACTCGTGCCGTAGACCATACAGGCGTGCGGCAGCTAGGATCCCAAGTTCCTAATCCACGAATGGAAATCGTAAACCTATCATTAACCACTATTTTCCAATCAGCAAAATGAGAAGCGAGGAACGAGTGGTAGCGATAAGTTAAACAGGAAGATGATGAATAACATGATGAAGATGATGGTGGATGATGACTCTTGCAGACTTATTATGGAGTTATTAAAGGAAGAGATGAAAATGGTTCGGTTTAAGATTGGTGATGGCCTTGTCAAGGGGAGATGAGCTCGTAATCGGCTGCGCGAATCAATCGGGCTAATTTGGCGGAAGATTGGAACGACAGCTGAAATATATATATATGGCGCGAATCAAGGGGAAAATATTACACGTTTATATACCTCTGCCATGGGTCGCTGGTAATTAATTAGCTCGTTCTAGCTCCTAGATTGTTTTTCTTAGGGAGAAGTAATCCGACAAAGGAGAAATGTAGCAGAAACAGGATATTGGAAATGTGGAAATTCGCTGATTGCCTTGTCTTGAGGACGATTGGTGATTAGACAAAAGGAGATCATTAGTGGGAAAAGGAATCATACTATTTATATCATATTTCAATATTATATTGGAATGGGGCTACAAGCAAATTTGACGCACCTACCCGTTAGACATTCTATACATAATACACCCTCATGAAATAGATTAGTCATTTTGTTACCTTTTAGGCAATTGGCTATCATTTTTTTGTTTATTATGTTTATTCGCCCTAATTCTTTTTTTTTCTTCGTTCAAACTTGACAAAATTATTCTTTTTTATCATGATAAAACAATAAGAATGTAATGATGAAATAATACAAGGATATATTGGATGTTTTAGAAGGGAAGATTGTAAATGCAGATGTTAACCAAAGTAGAATGACATTCATGCGTTAATGGTGTCTGTTTTTCACCATCTTCATATTCTTGCAAGCGGATTGTTCCCATGGTTAAACATTCTGTTTGAAAGAGTGTAAATATGTAACTTAGAAGAATATTTTTTACAATTTCACCTTCAGCATCATCGTCATCATTATCATCATCTTTGTCGTCATCATCGTCATCATCATCTACATCAACCTCACTTTCATGGAATTTCTTCCATTCATCAACACCACTCTCATCTTCATGTCCCTCTGCATCATCGTTCACTGGATAACACGTTACTTGAGGTCGGAAGGCCGTGATTCAAACCGTAATTACGCAATATTTGGTGATCATTTTCATATTTCTATTTGAATCAACGTTGTTGACCTCGTATACTAGTCAATCGATAACTTTCTAACAATTAAGTGATCTATACTAGACGATTATATTCCTTATAGGATTAACTATGTGACAAAACACAAAACAAATAGCAATATACAAATGCACGTACAAGTCGGGGTAAAATCAATCGTTTTTATTCAATTATAATGCAAATAATTGCCTAGGCCAATGACCCCATGTGGGGGCTGCCTGTCAGTTAATTGCATGGGGGCTAAAATGACCATAGCAATTCCCCGATCAGACATAAAGCTTATGATAATAATAGTTAATTACCCCAGCTCTATTTGTTTTGGGTTTCGATTTAACTAATTGAAATTGAACAACATACTGCATCGATTGTATAATTCAATGACAACAGTAGAGTGTCATGTCCGCCATCCCACAAAATGTGAATGCTATGAAGTGACCTCCAAACATTACCTCTAAATATGTAATACCAATACAATAGAAGCACCTCTCTTAGTCCAAACCTGCTCCATATCTTAGGGCAGTTGCTATCGTCTATTATTTGGGGTGCAAAATTTGAACTTCATTTTATTTGTATTGCAGTGGGAATTGTGGGATCGAGGATTGTATCGCTTTCGTCGCAACATGCAATAAGTAAATGTTTTAAAAAAGAGTTTAAACTTAACAATCGTTAAGATAAATACAAATATAAATTTCTTCTGCGTTTTTGTATTTATTCGGACTATTAAAATAAATCTCTGTTTTAGATTTTTTTTAATTAATTTTTTTGTCAGCAAACTGACCGGCTAAATGGGATTCCACGACCATTCCATTTCAATATAAACTACGAATGAGATATTATCATCATAGTCGTAATGTTTGTTTCCTACATGGTGCCAGTTGGTCATTTTTTAGAGACAATAAATAGTTTGGTGGCGACGTGGTCATTTAGCAGGAGACTAACATCTTTGTCGAAAGGTCGATACGACAATGAGTGCGAAACACATTATCACTGGAAACAAATATGTCACGTTGTTTTGGTGACATGGGAGTGTTAAAACATGGATTTCAAATCGATGAATGTCATATCACAACTCCGAAACAACATGACAGATTGTGACGAGTACTCGGAGTAAATGGCGTTTAAAATGCACGTTTTTGGATGATTGGTTATGCAGTCAACATGATCTTGGTTTTGTAGGTTTTCAACAGCGAGCAACTACACGGGATCCGAATGCTCCTTTGCTGAGAACGACTTAAAATAGAGCTCTTTAACACGTATATGACTAAACTAACTATAATTATTCGCTTTTTCCCTTAGTCTGTATTACCATTAATCCTCATAAAATCATTTCACCTGTACATTTTTTTTAAATAATCATTTGTTTCATACAGATAAAGTGGTATTGCGAGAGATTGCGAGATGTGATCTAATTGTTAGGTTTCCGTATTTTTAAGGCAGATACGATATCACAGTTTCATGTGTTAACTTTCAAAATTGTGTTGGTCATACACTGTTTTGAATTATATTAAATCTTATTTATTTCATCTTTGAACGTATTCTCGCAAGCATAAATTGTTTTAACATTGCTAAGTGTTCCATGTGCTATTATTGTAAACTAAATATAATCCAATCTTCGGGCTGCCATTTTGAATATTTTCAATAAACCATTCAATTTAATTCGATTGAGTTTATACTTTTCGATCATCAGTAGTACTATGAAGCAAAGTAGAGGATAACCATGACAACGCAACGCTGTAGATGGGTGTATCTCGATAGTTTCTTTGTCGTTTACCCAAGACACATATTAAAAACTTTGCCCCAAGAGAAAGTCACTCGACACATTGGAACCCCCCTTTTGTCAGGGATGTCCCGTTATATGGCGCTTCGAAAGCCAGCTTCCGTAAGTGGCTTAAGGCGAGGATTAGGGTGGATGGGTCCCTTGTTCCTCCTTCACCATAAACTTCAATGTGCCCCTCCCCGACTATTAGTGTGCCTACAGATAACAAACAACCTTCTGTATCGGCTAATTATCTCATCATTCTA